AATCTGACAGTCACTCAAGTTTTATTCTCAGATATTTTATTTAAATGCATTTTGGATCAGAGTTCTTGCCAAGAAAAAAAAAACAATTGAGGACTTGTTTTTTTTTCTTGTTTCTTTTTGCTTCAACCAAGAACTGCTAACTTTTCTCAGGAGAAATGGCTTCTGACTTTAAAACATTCTCCAAGCTGATAAGTTCACTTCATAGCATTCATTGATAATCATCTTTGTTTCTTTAAATGTGGACAAAACTTCAATAATGCTTTTGTCATTCCCTTCAATTTCCAGTATCTTTACACTCAATACATGAGAAAAGGTATGTACAAAATAAAAACAGGCTTCACTTAGAGGTGAAGAAAAAAATTATTAAAATTACAGGAGCATTTTTCTTGCAAGAAGAAGTGGGATTTCAAAGCATCAAACAACTTCAGTACTCAATCAAAAGCAGGAGGTATTCTAACACGTCTTAGAATGAGAAAGAACTGTTTGATATTGAATTCCCACAAATTCAGAAAACTCCTTCAGTAGTTCATTCCATACAGTACTTATAAAAAAATGAGAAAATATTTTCATTGTTATAACTTCAACATTTACAGTAGTATACAAAGTGTTTTGCAAGAGATGAGCAGGGCAGCCAATCCCTCCAATCATCATTTAAAGTTCTTTTCAATTCAAAATAAACATTGTTGGTTCCATGGCACTCTCAACCACAAAAATTTGTATTGCAATTATCTCTGCAGAATGCAATGCACTTTTTACCATCCAAATGACAAACTTGAATTGTGTTTGTGCAAAGTTCAACAATGGAAACCGATGTTTACTTTTGATTGAACCTACTGGCAGCAATTTTATTTATTCCATTCTTATGTGTGAAATATTAAGCGACAATAAAAAATACCTTATTGTTGCCATGATTGTAAGCATCAATCAATGGAAATATAAATAATGAAGGAAAGCTTTATTCTATCATTAATAGCATCTTTCAAAGAATTGGAAGCAATGACATTTTTAATCAATGCTTTAGATTTAGTTCTAGCATTACCAAAGTTTGTTTCTGGGTTTCAATATGCTGAAAAATGTCTGCCTTCTCACTCTGGATGATGCTAAATGTACAGTATAGCAGCACAGTTTACATGAGACTTCATGTTTATTGTCACTTCTTGCAATAAAATCCCTGTTTAGAATAGTAACTTTTATAATAATGTTTTCTTTTTTGCATGACAAAGTAAAAGAAAACTTTAGAGCACTTGAGTCCCAAATCTTTTTCCCCTCTGATTGATCTGATCCTGTTGATCAAGCAAAAGCAACAAACGATAGCTATTGGCAGTTTATGAACTTATAAGTGAATTTTTGAATTTAAATGTGCCAATTGTAATGACATAAATACAAAATACACTGTTGCCACTATAGACTATTCACTATGCTAATATTTAAAGCAATGTTATATTTCCCAGTTCTACTCCAATGATTTATATGAGGATTGAAGAGTACCAATTTGATTAAAGTGTTATTTATTTCTTGTTTCATATAAAATGATTTTGAAATTTTAGTTTGTCATTTCTTTTGCCAAATACAGAACAAGAGGGCATCCCAACAAATTTTGCCAGGACATTGGGAAATTTCTTAAAAAGGAGACAATGTCCGACAACCCTATTCACAATGACATTTCACTTAAAATTTCGTAATTTTATGTATTATGTTAATGAAACTATTTTAAAAACATTATTTTATTACTCTTGTTATTATTAATTAAACACTTATGTTTAGCAAATTGGCAATCAAACTTGATCCAGGAAATTACTTGAAAATGTCCCACAAACTCATTGTTCATAATGATTTTGCTATTTATCAAATTACCTATTAATTCAGTCTGAAGCTTAAAATAAGAAAAATGCATTTGAACTTTGTTCCCTCAGTTTTATAATTATTTTTATTTAATTTCACAAAAATACTGATCCACAAGGAATTGAAATGAGAAAAAACTGGCCCACAAACACAAAATTTGAGAAGCACTACAATAGATAAGGGGCAATCCATAAGTGATGTCCATGCCGAGAGAAGGTTACAAGTCAGACAAGGGGAGGGGAGGGATTGAACTTCAATGGACATCCATTTTATTTCATTTTAAATTAAATTTTATACAGTTTATATGTGGTTTATACATTTTATTATTCACAAAGTAGTGAAGATTTGGGGCGGGTCGAGTTTTGTTGGATGTCCGACAATGGGAGGGGTTACGGAAACTCGGACAAACCGGAACAACGGGGAGAGAAATGAAAATTTTGAGAAAAACGTGGACGTAATTTATGGACAGCCTCTAACTGTCAATATTTTCACTTTATCAAACAAAAGAAGAAAATAAAATGGATAATATATAAATTTATAAAACATAGTGAAAATAAAAAGAAGGGGAAAGAAGTGACATGAAAAAAATGGTTAAAAATATATAAAAATTATAGAAATGATTGATATTACCTAATAAAAAAAAAACATATCTGACACTATTGAATGAAAAAAAAAGCGATGACAATACAAAAAACTAATAGATGATAAAGATACTGAAAATTCTACATGTCAAAAATCATTGTAAACAAAAACAAAAGTTTGGTTTCACCATAAAAACATAACACACAAATGAAAAAACATTAAATTTATCAATGTTTCAAATATATGAATCTATACACATTCTGTTGACTTGTGTTTTGTTTTGTGTTTACAAAACAATGGGTTGAACAATGTTCTTCACATTTATCAAGAAAAATTACAAACAAGATTTAATAAACCAATAAAAGAAAAAATAAATGTTGAAAAATTTACTAAAAATCATTGATTTGTTAGTTGTTATCTCACAATAAATATTAAAATTAAATTTAATGTTTATATATTTAATTAATTTTAATAACTGATATTATACATTTTGATCAAAATTTCCTAAATGCATTTAATTATACATAATTTATTTTTAAAAAATTTGTAATTTTGTTAGGGCAAATATCAGTATGAAATTAATTATCAATAAACAAAGGCAAAACTACACAAATTTAACGTCTTTATACAAAAGGATTGCATTTAATTTATATAATGACATTCAGTAAAATCAATCGACCGTTACACGAGACGTTAAATGGTTCAGATGAATATAATTAACGTCACAATTAACGACAATTAAGACAATTCAACGAGAACAAAAGAAACACACCTTTGACTTGTTATCAAAATAGACGCCAAAAACGATGACCCCTGCTGGAAAATTTGAAAATATTTTTAAAAAAATATTAAAGTTTCTTTAAAANTATATATATAAACGTAGATTATCTATACTTTTGGGACACACCGTACAACCTTTGATTGAATAATTTTATCATTATATGAGTTGGCTTCAATTGGACACATACAAATAATTTATCAATTTATCCAAACAATCAGCAATAAAATAGGTGACTTTGAATAATAAAAATGAAAAATAAAAGATACATATATATATTGATAGCAGTTTGATTAAAAGAAGACTCTCTCGATCTTTCAATTTCATGTCATTCGCGAACCTAGGCAAATCGAGTAAACTGGAAACTTGTGAATGCGTACATATCGAATAACAACAGTTTTGCCAATGTGTGCCACAAACTTTAACTTCACTAACGCTTTACTCTTCACATAATTAATCGCTATTGTATTTTCTTGTCGAGAATTTGAGGTAATTCTACGACTGGATGACCGAGCAGTCAAGGTGGCAGCCTGCCGCTCTGGGATACCGGAATCGAATCCGGACGGGTCAAAAAGGAATTTTTCGGGGGGCGGTCCGTCCGGATGTATTGGGCCCCGTGCCTTACCACTCGGCCACCCATTGTGGCCTGGACATAATGGGCTTGCTAAAAGATGCCCTCTTAGTACCCACAGGGCGGAAAGAGTTTAACTCTCCCGGATTCGCCAGAAGATTCCTGAAATTTAGACAAAGCTTTTTAAGTTTTTCGATTCCCAAATTGAGACCTATTCCTCTAGTATTTACTCGATAAGACTATCGACTTTAGGGGTGTATATTAAAACAGATTCAAAAATGAGCGACATCATTTTGAAAACTTTTTACTCCTAGAATAGAAAACTTTCGGAATCAACTCTTCGGGGGTTGGCAAGCTTATACAAATTATATCAGGAATAAAAGTAAATATAATACTTCTAAAAATGGGTGTAGTAAATGAAAATGTTTGTGTAAACATTGTTAATTAATATTAATAAATTATCATAAGATATATCGATATGAACGTTTCGCAGTTTGACAGATTAAATGTTAAGGTAGCAGCTTCGGTTGAACTTACAGTGGGTGCACCCGACGATGATCCATGATAGGCTGGAGTAGTGATATCAGAGGAGATTCTCAAAGTAGTCACCTTCGGCATCTATACATTTACGAGTACGACGTAATAAACTATGTGTTCTTCCTCGAAGTACAGTACGTCCTTATCTTTTTTGATAACTGCAGCAACATTTCTTATCCGGATAATAAGTTAATCACGGAATACCATCTCTTGGTACACTACATTCTTCATCCAGCCCCATCCATCATACACAATAGTCTAGACTCTAGAGGAGTTAGCAGAGAGCTAAATGGCCACTGAATCGGGCTAAAGGATCAGCACCGGAATAGGTTTTCTCAGAAACAGTTTATTTCCCATTTAACCGAAAAGAAAATATATAATTAATAAACGTCCGAAATAATTTTCATCCAACAATAATAAATATTAAAATTTATTTTTAAAAATACTAAAAAATCGCGTGTTTGGTATATAAACATCCCGTTTTCATTAGACAAATATTATTTAGTTTTTTTATATATTTATCTCCTCACTTAATTAAAATAAGAAGTGTGTAATACAATTAAACAGCGAAGACATATTTAAATTTTTCAGAAGAAACTACTTTTCCGGGGGGATTCCGTTTATCAGTTATTTATATATTTTTTTTTAACCACAAAAAATCAAAAATATATCCCAAAGAATATCGAAAAAATTAATAAACCAACTAAAAATGTTTTTGTAAAATATTATTTGCGGGTAAGCATTAAAGAATTGTTTATTTTTTCCAATTATTTTTTGTAAATTCCCGCACACCGAACTGGGCATATTTAAATCGTTGTGAGGGGTGTAGGTAGTGGTGACACTGGTAGCGTATTGTAATTTTCGAGTTTGTTTATTTTCTGTAACTGCTGCTAAAATGGTAAATTAAACTTTAATTTCTTATTTTTTAAAGATACGATGAAAAATATCTATATAAGTACGTACTTTATATTTCTCTTCTAGTCTACTAACGGTTATTTCGAAGTGTCTTCTCGCTGTCCAGATGTCCCCAGTGTACAGACATCCACAGATACATTAGTTCCCAATAGAATATTTGTAGGAGGAATATCTGCTCACGTAAACTATTTGTTTTATTATTATTATAAGTATAAATTTAATATTTCGGATCAAGAGTTATTCTTTTGTTGTATAGACAACGGAAGCCGAGTTACACACTTTGTTTTCCAAGTACGGAAGTGTGAAAGCGGCGAAGATTATCACGGATAAGACTGGCCTGTCGAAAGGGTAAGTTCAGTTTTTTGATTATTGTTTTACAAATAACGTAATTTATATTTCTTTTTAAACTTTTTCAGATATGGCTTTGTTACATTCGATACTGAAGAGGAAGCTAAAAAGCTTCAAAAAGAGGTAATAATAGTAAATAATTAAAGACCTTGAGGCAAGAACTTTCTAACTGACTTGGAAGTAGTAGTATCTGGAAAAACTTATCCTGTAGTTCGATCTGTTTTAAAATAGAGGAAAATTCTGAAGGTGATTTTTAAGAATACAGGCTGTAAAGTCTATGAGAAGTGATGTCTGGATGTTTATATCTGTCCTATGATTTGTAGAAATTAGATAACGTTAAACGAAGACTGAGCTGATGATCTTGCCACAAGGTCTTCAGTTATAAATTAATATAGCATTTATTGTTATGATTATTTTTTTAGGGCAGTGTTATTTTATCAGGTAAACGTCTAAATATAGCACCGGCCATAATAAAAAGAGTAAGTAGTATTAGTTCTTTTTAATGACACTCGTAACAAATCTTAAATACCTTTTCCCCTCCTTTTTTTAATAGCGATCTCAGCATACAGGTTAGTATATCGTAGGAAAAAATTCTTTTTTATTTTTGAATGTATCTACAGTTATATGTAATACTTTTAGAAACTTCTCAAGATTCACAAACATGTAATATACCTTATCATGGCAACGTGTCTTCAACTTACGGTGTTCTGTATGCGCCTTCGTATGGCTTGTATTTCCAACCACAGGTAAAAATCTTAATTTATTCCTAGAATGTTCATATTTATTCTTTAAGAGCACGCTATCCATTTCAGCCAGCGTATTCTATGTTGATACCTCATCCTCAATATGTCTACCAACCTCAAGTAAGTGTAATCCTAACTTTTTATTATTCTTAAATCATCAAAAGGTTTGTTCTGGTTTTTGACTCGTAAAATTTTTAACACAACACTATGAATGGATCCTGTTATGGCCGGACCACTTCTTTTGCTATCAACGTTACAAATACAATTCTAATTTCAAATCGTCCACTTGCTTGTAACTCTTACCCAACAAATAACTTTCCCATTCACTCTATGGAAATCTATCTTTAAAGTGTCCATTTTCCTCCTCCCCGACGACATAAGTTTTTAATTTCTGAATCTCCCGGGTAGAGAAGTAAAATAATTTCACATTCAATATTTGCCTAGATTTTATAAAGAAATTAGATCATGGTCCTAATGTTGGCTACCTCCCCGTCTTTGGGTCAATGTCCTTCCCCCCTTTTTTTCTATTGTTCTGCATCAGCGATTTTTTCTAACCGAATCTGGTGGTTATTATTACTACTGAGATGAGTTAAAACAAGTTGAAGATTTTAACTGTTTTATGTATAGAGTTGTGTTCATCAACTGTGACAATTTGCCGTAAATCTTGTAAAGACTTAGCAAATGCTTAGAGACAGCCGTGTAATCGTGTAATCTTTCTTTTTAGAATGTTTCTTCGTACATTTATGGCCCGACATCTGCTCCGACGGATCCATATATCCACGGTGCAACATTTCGCCAAGGACAACAAGAACAACCATTAGATATTTCTTCAGATATTCAAGACGTGAGTATGACAATGGTCGGGTTTTGTTTTTCTTCTTTTTTCCTCTTATCTTAAATTTTAAACTTTTTTTTTTTATTCAGGATATTTCGAAGTGCTTATCGAATAGGTGTTCTCCGTTACACAGACCTTCCAGTGCTGCGCCATACATTTACTGCGATCATCCGATAAAAGCCACGCAAGTCGCAAAATTCGCAATGGCAGCATATCCGCCGTACACTCTACAAATGACTCAAGATCGCCTTCACCAAGAATGTGACATACCCGAAACTATGTTACAGTCGTGTCCTTTGACACCTCCATCAACACCCGTAGCTTCTATGGGCAAACACTACAAGACAAATAGTTGATTGTACACTTTTTTTGTTTCTTTGGACTAATTTCCTAATAATTGAATTTAATTTATGAAGAGGAATACGGAGGTGTTTTTATTCTGCGCGAAACTTTTTCTTATTTAGGTTTTAGAAAAGCAGAATTGGCAAGAATAAAAAAAAAATTACCTCCCAATATCGTTTATTTTTTTCCCCCCCTAACAACTTGAATTTTTTAACGTTATTTCTAACACCCGAATAAAGCTTTTAAACAATGTGCCAACCGTATTTTACCAATATTATTTGTGTTTTCAATATATTGTGGATGTATACTATTTATACTCTGTACTTGTTGCCAATAAAAAAAAAAATTAGGTTTAACAATTTGAGTGACGTTTTCAAATTTTTCAAAATTTGTCCAATCATCTCTTCCGTAAATTAATTAACGAGAACGAATTTATCAAATAAGAGATATGAAAACACCGGTTAGATAAAAATAATCACGTGACGTGCGCACGTGATTATTAATAGCCCGTAAGATTTGTGAATGTGTAAAAAAGTTTTTTGCCTTTCGGCCAATGATGATAAAACACGACTGTTTAAAGATGATATTGCGCCTGCGCCGTGATTAGTTTGATGATTGCCACGTTTTCTCATCAGTGGGGTTGTACATCTCGAGGAGGGAAGAAGCGTAATTTTCTTTTTTAAATTATATTTAAAAAAAATGTCGATCCCGTTCGTTCTTTCGGTGCTGTTTTTTACAATTATTAACGCATCCGGAGACATACCAACAGAAGACGAGGTATTAGTTCTGAACAAAGATAACTTCGACAAAGCCGTTCAAGAACATGAACATATTCTGGTCGAATTTTGTAAGTTTTTTAATATTTTTCCTTCTGTTTTTTAATACTGAGTAAAATTTCTATATTCTCTACGTTATAAACGTTTATGAATTCAAGCAATTGTAAAAATCTGTCTTATTTAAAAAAAAAATAAATTCCTAGAGAGATTGGAAAAGACACACACTTCCCTCCTGTTTAAAATTATAATGCCACAGGCAAAACAATACATTTCTGTCTTCCAAAGCTAACCGAAGAAAGTAAGTATTAACATTCGCTTTGCCACTCCCCGAATACGTTTCGTCGTTCTGTTTCTATATTCTGATAATGTGTGCGTTGCTTCGAATTGTGAAGTTTCTAACTTACCGTTTCGGAAAAGACTGTGTATGGGTAATGTATATTGTGTGTCGTCTTATTTGATAATGGATTTTGTGTATATTTACAGATGCCCCGTGGTGTGGACATTGCAAGGCTCTCGCGCCGGAATATGCCAAGGCGGCCAAACAGTTAAAAGAGGAGGCGTCGGAAATTAAGTTGGCCAAAATCGATGCCACCCAGGAGAGCGATTTGGCCGAACAGTACGACGTTCGTGGCTACCCCACTTTAAAGTTTTTCAGAAGTGGTAAACCGTCGGAATACAAAGGTTGTGATATGTTAAGAAATTATCTATTAATTGTTTAAAACGTAAAATAATTTAATTAATAATTCAGTTTAAAGAATGAAGAGGCATTTTATTAAATAACTTTTCATCACGACAAATTATCATCTTTATAATAATAAAAAAAAAAAATATTAATAAGCACAATTTTAAGAACAATTCGTTTATTATTATTATTTTTTTTTTCCTGAAGTTTTAAAATAATATACAATTAATATTATACTATAAATGTATTTTTATATTTGGTATTGCGTAAGCTTTTAAAATTGTATGATGTATAATTGTAAACGTTAAAATTTTTTTAATGTATTTATAATTTTTAAAGTTAATGCATGAGATTAAATCTTATGCAAAAAAGAAGAAAGAGATTTAATAAATTCTTAGAATTTATTATAGCATTCCTTACCTAAATTGATCAAAACCCAGTCTAATTTACTAGTTCTTACATATGTAAATCTTACTTTCTTAAAAAATTTTGATTAAATTTCTAGAATTTTAGATTTTATATATAAACGGACCAATGTAATACAAAAACTGATAACCTAGATTAATTTTTGATGAGTCAACAACATTTTTTAAAGATGATTAAAAATAAATAAAATTTCCTTGTATAAACATAGGCATGTTTCTTGTAATAAGAGATTAGAAAAAGCCTGATATGCAATTTCTTCTATTAAAATTTCTATCTTATAATCATATTTAACGTGTCTATAAAATGCTGAGGCAATTAATAATTAATTAGTATTTTTAAATAATCTAATTAAAATATTAAGTTAATTAATATTTCATTATAAACTTCATTTTTAAAGTATATTAAATTAATTTTTAAGAGAAATTTGCAAAAACAAATTTCTAATCAATAGTAAATTATTTATCTGATGTCATTTGCTTTTGTTGGGTGAATTTTTTGACTTGTAAAATTGTATTTAATGATAATATACACAGTTTTTTAAAGTTTTTATTGACATTCAAAATTATTTATTTATTCAAGATTGGTAATTTGAATCTTAGAAAACAGTGCCAGCTGAGGTCCTAATCGATTTCATGGATGATCTTGTATCGATGATAGTTACATAAATGGCTGTTTGACCAGTTAATGAATTCAAGAACAAACAAGATTCTTGTGAATGGTCTCATTTCACAGGAAAAGTTGTGATGAGGCAGTCAAGAAGGAACTTATTAATTTCAAGGCATCAAACAGATATATTACAAAATTCAAACAGTGGCAGAATCTTTCTTGTATAGAAGCAGCTGTTGAAGAAGCTGCAGTTTTTGACAGTACGTGATGAATAGATCAATAAATTGGTTTCTGATACAAATTAAAAAATGTTTTTAATAAGATAGTTTGTAACATGCTACCAGGTAAGATCAGACCTGCCTTGATGGGAAGCATAGTAAAAGGAGGTTGTCGGTACTTTTCTGCGCAGTGTCAGTGCACAGTGACAGGTCAGAAAAAATCAAAGCTGCTTGCATTAAACAAGTTTGCAAAGTGTTGCTCTATGAAAAATGTACATCTTCCTTGTACATATAAAAACAATAAAATGCATGGATGACTACAGCTTTGTTCACAGAAAGGTGTGAATGCACCTTTCTATGAACATAGCTAGTTTACAGAAAGGTTCATTCTGGCATCAAAAGCGTGAAATCTTTTGATGCTAGATTGAAAATCAAGAAAGGAAAATATCTTACTCTTTATTGATTGTTGCCTATTATTGTGTATCTTCATAGGCAATTTGCTGATTTTTACTTATCATATAAAAAGCAACTTAAGTTGAAAAACATAAGTTGTATTTTTCCCCAGTTAACTGCACTGGCAAGTTATATCCCTTAGATCAAGGTATAATTACAATGGTAAAACAGAGATACAAATATCACCTGGTATGTTATTTTTGAAGCAGATGGAATAAGGCAGGTGCTGAAATTATTAAAAAGAAATGTTTTGACAACTATTTAAAGATTGTTTGCTTTGGGACTGCATTCACAGAACAGCTATTTGAAATTGTTTCAAAAAGGTAGGATTTGGAAACAGTCTCCTTCAGGACTATTTCCTACCCCTATAACAATATAATAATGATACTGAAGATGAAGCAACAGAACAAAATGTGATCGCCAAGAATCTGAATGAGAGGTGTACCAAATAAGGATTTTTTACAAGCTACTGATGATGTAGAGCAATTGTTTAAAACTTATTTTAATCCTTGATTTAACTCTGATTCACTTTTATTTAAAAAAATTCTAACACCCTTACAATTTTTACTGATTCTAATTGAAGCAAAAAATAAAATATTACTTATAAAATATATAAAAAACAGATTAGTAATTATTATTAATTCAAACTGGCAATTAATGTGAAGAATTCATTTTCAAAGATGATTTCATCAGTGGATGTAGTGGGAAAATCAAATACATTAAATTCTTGCAGATTGCTATTTATAAATGAATAAATAAGTAAGTATTTGAATATTGCTACCCCTGAGCAACAGTTTCTCTAACAGGAATGAATACTTTACTTTAGTAGTCAGATACAAAGAATCAAATATTTAGGAAATAATAAAATACATGATTTGATTCTCCCATCCTTAGACTCAGCAGATTTTATATTCCATAAATGTGAACCATACAGAATCTGTAATAGGTCTCTCTTTTCCTATAAAATATTAAAGTTGAAAAACTCATTTTTGTTGCAGAACCCTAGACTTCTGTAGAACACAAGTTGGAAACCACTGATCTAGACATGTTTATACAAAAATAATAAATATGAAAATGATGTCTTTGCAGATTTAAAACTAAGAGTCAAATGATGATCTCATAAGTCCAAATGTGTTTAAACATAATGAACTGGTTACTGCTCTCAATACTCTTTGAACTCTGCTTAAAATTCTGCAGATTTGGGAAATTTACAGTATTTTACAAGTCTGAATCTTTTCAATGAAAGAATTATTACAACAAATCATTGAGTAGGTGATGATTGAGATTTTTATTAAAAAGACACTATCATAGGCTTGCATAGTGTTTTTAGTTTTCATACAAACACCAACAGATTAACTATTTCATATACCCCTTTATGCTGGACTGCATACTGAAGCACATTAAATACAATATTATTTTTTTAAGTTATGTGATCTGTATGTATCAATATTATGTCAGCACAGTGGTCGTGAATAAACGTATTTTTGACAAGTCATAACTGATCGGTTGTTCTCCTTACATCAGATACCCAAAATTTTTGTCCCTTTTGATTTATTTGAGAATTTCCTGAATAAGCAGAGTGCTTATATATAAACTGAACTCTAGTTGATAGTGATTGAAAATGCAAGCAAACAATGAGTGATTATGCCTGAATTGCCTAAACTGGCCAAATCTTAAAATGTAGAAGTAGACATAAAACCATTCCAATTATAAACTTCTGTCATAAATCTATTTATCAAATTTTCTCTTGGGATTATCTGACATCCAATTTATATGAAAAATGTATAACATTGCAGATTTCAACTTAACAGACATGGTATCTGACATTAAGTAATAATTTAAGTTACTTGAATAATTATTATTGATGGTTGACATTATTAAATATATTCAAGTTATTCTGTTCACTCTATGTAAATATATATATGTATATGTTTGGTTGAGAATAGTGATGCAACGAATAGTATATTCGGCCAAACTATTCGGTTTGATTAACGCACGTACAAAAATTGGTGTGCAAACCACATTATGGCAAGGATCGCGCACCCTGCTCTCTATTGGTCTGCTGTCACTATGCTTTGCAATCGCATTAATTCTTGACAGTTGTAGTGGACAGACACGAGCATCATGGCAGTATGTGATAAGTGATGATATCAAATGTGGATAACGATGAAATGACTCTCACATGTAAATAATGGAAAAAGAACAGAGAAGGATCACAAAGTGAAAATGAGAAAATAAATATGAAATTGATTGATAACATAATCGAATAAGTCGAGGCAGCTTATTGGCGCAAAATTTGTGGCCGTGAATGTCAAATAATTGTCGTAGATTTCGGAAAGATAAATGCTTGTAATGAAAGTCACTTAGTGTGCACGGATGAAAGTCTGGGGCTGTTCAGGCTACCAAGCTGTCTGGAACTTCAGTTATGATAAATAATTTTCTACAATGAAACAAAAAAGTTAATTTAATTTTTAAGTTTATAACTAGGGATGATTTCATAAAAATGCTTTACAGATCATTAATTATTATTTGTTTCACATTTTATGATCTAAGTTTTGATCTAATGTGCCTATACAGTAAAAATTTTCAATACAAACTTTTTACCCTTTTCACCCCTTTAGGGTTGAATTTCGTAAAATCTTCTCATAGCATGCCTAAACTTTACAAAAGGAACACACACTCAAATTTTTAAGTTTCTAGCACCAGTAGTTTTGGCTCTGCGTTAATTATCCTATCAGGACTTATTCTTTTATATATGAGTATGTAGATGACTAAACTACATAATAAGTAGGTAGGTAGTTTTCATTTGATTTGTTACTTTTTTTTGATCTCTTAATTAAAAAAATAACTTACAAGTTAGTTATATTACTTTTCCTTTGATCTTTTACATAAATAAGCAAAACATTGCACTTTCTCGAATTTGAAATGTATGTTCAGCATTAATAAAAGTTACCAAAATGATTAGTTTACTGTGTTTTTGTTATTTCTTACTCCTTTTTTAGGTATTCAGTATTCAGCCGAATAGCAAATAGTAACAGAATATTTGTTGCATCATTAGTTGAGAATATTTTAAAATAATTTTTTGAAACAATATAACTATGATATTTGCTTAGTTTAAAGATAAATTAGATAATTTAAATAATCAAATTACACAACCAGATTCTTACTAGGTTTATAATATGGCTAATTAATTAATAAGATATCAAGCAATTTAGACTGAGCACTTGATCAATTAGATAATTAGTAACAAACTTTTGAAAAGAGATATTTATAGTTTTTATATTTTTAATATTGACAATAAAACTATAAAAACATGATAGTTTACATAAATTATAATTATTTAGGTGGACGAGTGGCAGAAGATATTGTCCGTTGGTTAAAGAAAAAAATTGGACCACCTGCTGAAAGTTTAGATAATGTCGAAAGTGCCAAAGCATTCCAACAAAGTGCCGAAGTTGTTCTAATGGGATTTTTCAAAGATATAAACTCAGATGAAGCAAAGGTATACTTGGATGTTGCCCTAGAATCAGATGATTATTCATTTGGAATTACTTCTCAAGATGAAGTTTTTAAGGAATTCAATGTTGAAAAAGATAGCATTGTTTTATTTAAAAAAGTAAGTTTTTATTTTAATATACTTGATGGATCATATATTTAAGATAGAAATCATAATTAGAATTGTTTTAATTTCTTAAAGCTACTAGATATAAGTTTCTAATATGTATTATCAATTAATTAGTAATAAATAACTATGGGCTTTGTTGGCTCATAGTTATAAGTTTAATTGCACAACTTATTGATTTTTATTTACACATCATGCATTATTAAATAAAAATCAAAAAGATGTGTGATTAATTTGTACTTATAACAATAAGGCCAATGAGACTCAATTTATTACTAATTATTTAAAGCTTTTCGTCAATGGAAAGAAAAACAGTTACATTCAAATAGGAAGGATAATATTGAAGTACTTAGTTTTTAAAACCATATTATGAGACCTAGTTTAATAGATTTAGAACTTTGTTAGAAGAAGAAAAAATCTGGAGCCTCATTAGAATTGTATTTGGCCAGTTTTATTGATTAATAACCTGATTCCAAATACATAACTATTGCATAAATTTGCATTTATGAAATAATGCACTTCATATATAAAATATGGACTAAATTGCCATAATTTACCATTTCCCCACTATATTAGAAAATATGCTGGCAAATTTTTAACTTATAAAGAAAATCTTAATTATAAAATATATTTGATTTATAAATTATGAAAAAATTAAATTTTTATATGGTGTAATCCTGATTTATGAGCATAGCTCATTCTTATAAATCTCAAATAAATCAAAATCTTATAAGGACAAACCTTTACACTATTTCTTATGTTTGAAATTTGTATTCTAATCCAAATTAACCCAGTCACCTTATCCATGTTTCCAAAAAAAACAGTAAAGTCAGGCTATAGTAAATGTTGTGTGGTAGTATGCTCTACATACTCTGCTTTTTTTCATAGAAATATTGTATATTCTTTCAGTTATATAAATTTTTGTATAACCAGAGAATATAAAAAATTTATTTTGGATATTTTATTTTATTTCTAATGACCAAACCAATACTTTTATTCTTCTATAAACAACTGCTCATTATCTTCTTTCTAATACCAATTATAAATATTAAAGAAAAGATAATAAACTATATACCTTCTGCTGAGTGTACTACTATAGCACTGATTAAAGAGCTACAGAATATCCATTTACTATCAATTAACACTATTTTATTATATTTAGAATCATTGGTTAGTTTATTCACTGATATAAATGGAACTTTTACAGAATGAAAGAAGTACATATAGTTTAGCAGATATGTTAAAAAATTCATCATATTTTACTCTATAATTAATGAAATTGTAAGCTCTGATAGAAGGATGTGTAATGTAAAGATGAAGCTCACTAAACTGTACAGCCACACTAAAATGAATAGCATTATTTCTAGTAAATGATGACACAATATGAATGAAATCGAGTAAATAGTGGCTGAAACCTATGAGTCATCTAATTGAAGAATGAGTATTTTTCCTATTTGTACTTGTAATTAAAATACTTCATTTTCATAAATATTAGTCAGTGCTTGTTGTAAGAGGAACTTATATTTTGCCATTAAGACCATTAGTAAACAAGAAGTCTCACTCAACATATTTTGTCACATAAATAGGGGAATCAAGACAAAAGTAAACAGTTTGTTCTGTTGAATTTGTATTTATTGAGAATGAATAATTATTACTCATAAAGAGGTATCATACAATAGTTTATACTAATAAAATATATTTTTAACAATTATTATTCTGTTTTTAGTTTGATGAGGGAAGAAATGATTTTGATGGTGAAGTAACAGAAAAGCTTTTAAAAGATTTTATTAATATGAACAGTTTACCTCTTGTTGTTGATTTTAATCAAGATGTAAGTATGGTATAAATTTGATATATTTTTAAAATAAATTAAAAAAAATTAAAATTATGAACTTAAGTATCATTTCTGTTGTCATTTCAGACTGCTCAGAAAGTTTTTGGTGGAGATATAAAAGCTCATAATTTATTATTTATAAGCAAAAAGAGTTCTGAATATAATGAATTAGTTGAAGTGTTCCGTAAAGTTGCTAAAGATTTTAAAAAGAAAGTAAGTTTAATTTATAAATTCCTTGATTAATTTATAATTTTTTATAATCACAAAATAACAGCAAAGATATACAATAAATATCAATTCTAAAATACTTCATGTTAGGTATTATTTGTAACAATTGACATCGATGAAGAAGATCATGAAAGAATTATGGAATTTTTTGGATTGAAGAAAGAGGATGCACCAGACATGCGATTAATACAGTTAGAAGAAGAAATGACTAAGTTTAAGCCTCCCACATCAGGTCTTAGTGAAGATAATATTCGTAACTTTGTGCAAGGTGTTCTGGATGGAAAAATCAAGGTAGCTTCTTAATATTTTACTGAAGAAATTTTATTACATACATACCCATAGCTTTAAATGTTAATATATTGCTTAAATAATAATAAGTAAATTTATTATATTGAATTATTATAGGTATTTTTTTTAAGTGAAAATTTTAATTTATGCAAGATATTGAATCATTGATATACTATACATAATAACATTAGATGATACAACAAAAAGAAAATTAAATTTATTCTTAAACTACATTTTATTCCTGTTAGCTGGCAGACCATATTTTAATGTGAATCCATGTGATTAGCATGGCTTAATGCCAGTAAAAGTTCATAATATTTCTAAACTTTTAAGAAACTTCAAATTGAAACAAAAACATAAAAATTGGTTCTTTTATCAAGTATATTTTCAGATTTGGTAATGCTACCAAGTCAAAGGAGTTTGATCTGGTATATTTAATCTGTTTATATATTGATTGATTCCTCTTGTAACCTTCATCTTGAAATGCAACAAGAAATGGCAGGTTGAGCAATTCTCAAATCTCTAGATCAAAATTTTTAATTTCATTTAGTAGTAGTATAGAATATCAAAATTGTTGCACAAAATATATAATTTGTAAGGCGACAAAAACAAAACTTTAATTTGTTTTATTCTTGTTGATAGCATGACTATAGTAAATTACAAATTTGCATATGATGTAGTCAATATTTTAATTGTAGCATTATCTATAGTCATATGAATAATTGCCTATAATTTACTCTCAGAGTATCATAATATATGTGGTATTTTTTAAATTCTGCAAAATAATTGTCTTATTTTGAGACATTAAATGGATCTTAACAACAGATTGGATTTACTAAATTTCTTGAGAAAGTTAATGTTTTTTATGGAGCATGTTGGAAAAGTTTAATAAACGTCACAAGATGTGCACAAATCATTTTTTATTTAGCATCAGATTTTTTTCTTAAAATATCTTATTTAAAAGCAATAGCATTTATACTTTTTAAGATATTTTATATCTATAGTTATGTCATTGTTGTTCAAATCTTTACAAATAAAAATATTGTCTCTCTATCACATTGTGATAACTATAACGCTAATTTGGAATTATATACTTTTTTATTTTTCTCTTTTTCTGTCCTTTGAGCACTAATGAGGGCCTAAAAAGGTCCTCATTAGTGCTCATTATATCTATAATGAAGTTATCTGGATGGTGAGGAAGGGGCTCAACACTTGTAGGACAGACAGCCGACGTAAAATTCCCAAGGAATTGTTTCCCAGAGTGATAGGCTGACATCTTATCACTTTGGTCATTGGTTGTCTATATTTTACTTGAGTGCATTAATTGTTTTTGAAATGAAAAAATTTACAGGAATATAATATACAATAGTGGCCAAAAGTAGAGCTACCCTTGACATATGTTTTAAAAATGCAATCTCTATTTTGTTGACCACCTACTANCGAATTATGCTCATTAAGCGAGGTTCCACTGTATAGCATAAATAAGGCTATGACATCTAGGCACTAAAACATGTATAGCTATTATAGTCTTAGTCAAGAATTGTACATACAATATTATCTCCATAACTTTAAGTGTTTTTTTTTTTTTCCTTTTTTTAATATTTCTATTTTGCTCTGAGTTTAAAATGCAATTTTCAAATGAAACTAAACATTTTAATTCATACATTTTTTAATAGCAACATCTACTTTCTGAAAGTGTTCCTGAAAATTGGGATAAAGGACCTGTTAAAGTCTTAGTAGGAAATAATTTTGATGATGTTGCTCTAGATAAGACCAAAGATGTTTTAGTAGAATTTTGTAAGTAACTCTTCAATAAAGAATACTTTTTCTATCATAATTAACTTTTTCTAAATAATTTAATGAAAATTTATAATTTCAGATGCGCCATGGTGTGGTCATTGCAAGCAGTTGGCACCTATTTATGAAAAATTAGGCGAAAAATATAAAGATAAATCTAATATTGTTATAGCAAAAATGGATGCAACTGCAAATGAATTAGAACATACCAAGATTCATAGTTTTCCAACAATTAAACTTTTCAAGAAAGATTCTAATGAAGTAAGGTGTTTTCAGCAGTGTTTTTGTCAAAAAAAAAAAAACATATTTGAAATGAGACTTTTTTTTTGTTAATGTAGGTAGTTGATTTTAATGGAGAACGCACACTTGAAGGTCTCAGTAAATTTATTGATTCAGGTGGAGTTGACGGAGCTTCACCAAAGGAAGAGGTTTGATTTTAATGAAATCTATTAAATTTTAAATAAGTTGCAATAAATGTATTACAGTTAAATTAATTAATGATAATTAAAAAATTTAGTTATTGTTATAAATTTGGACATTACCATGAACTATTAATAGATGTGTTTACATAGAAATATCTTGTAGCTCACAGAAATGAGGGAGGGGTTGTTTCTATTTATATTTCATCTCAAGTAGATTTGCTATGATGGCCAAATTATACTGAGTAATAGTTTAGTAAAGAAACAATGTTATCAATATCATTTCTATCATTTCTATTTAGAAAAATTTAATGAAATAATGGTTGTATTATGTTTTTGATACATTTCACAATTGGTCAGAATGCTGGCTTGCCCATATTTCCATACAAAAATTAATATTTTATCATTTGAATATTAACTTAATAGTCAGTTTATAGTAATTTCTAAGTTAATAATGAGAATTACAACATTTTGCTAGTAAAGATTCAACTTTGCTAAGTTGATAATGTCATTTCTTTGCCATACACTTTAATTAACAGGGTAGTCTCACCTCAATTATGAGAAAAACATATTGTTAAAAAATATTTTAATTGTGTATATTTAGATTATTATATTTTTATTTTAAATAAATATTCAAAACATTTTATAATTAGATTTTTATTAGCATTCACTAGCAAGTTACATCAGATGGATAAGGTTTAACAATATCATCAAATTGTAGATGCCTGGATATAGTGGGAAGTATTATATATTAGTAGTATTCTGCATTTGCACTTTTTATTAAAAAATAAAGTTGTGAAAATTACCTCAGAATTTTGTACAAAAAAAAAGCTGCATTATGTGAAGATGTAATTTGATTGAAATATTATTACTTTTGTGTCATTAGAAGTATGCTAAAAAGTATAATGAGTGAATGTTTGTTCTCCACTACATCTGAACATCCTTAAACTTGCCCATAGATTTTATCAAATACCAAAAGAACTTGTGATGATTAGAAAATCATAACCTTTCAAAATTTTGCCTAACAACTGATGATAAATGTAAACATTTCTTCTTGAATTTTATGAAATGGCAAAAAGTTGAAGAAATGAACAAACAAAAGTTTAATTAGATTTATTACATACACAATTGTTTCCTAATCTAAACTCTCAAAATGTTTTTTTTAATAACCCAATAGGTATAAATTTACACTTGACATCATCACTATGCAAATTTTTATAGAAATAATGTGATTTCTCCTTAAAATTTGTGATCTCTTAATCCACTTATAGTTGAACAAAATGATAAAATCCAATTATCAATTGGAACATCCATGATAGTTTACAGCAACAATCCATCTCATTCATTAAGTAAAGAGTAATGAATCTATTGATAATTACTCTATCCAAATCATGTTGAGTTTATCTAGATAAAATTATGAATGGGAAACATAATAATTTAAATTATTAAAATATTGGATAAATGCAGAGCTTTCGTCTCTGAGTGAGTGGGTGCTACATTTAAGGAAAAAAAATCCAATTATTAATTTTTACTGGCATTGATGTAGACATCCTGCAACATTAAATGTGAAATATTAGAAATGGAAATTACAGTGGAACCTCGGTATATGACCTTAATCCGTTCCTGATGTTTGGACTTAAACCAAATAGGACGTATACCAAACCAACCTTTCCGGTAAGAAGTAATGTAAAAATGATCAATCCGTTCTCATGTAAAAAAAAAATGGCTGGCTTTAAACATCTCTCTTTCCTGGCTAGTTACATGCTGATCTCATGAAAAATCGAGCATGATCTTTTTAGCTTTCTCGCAAATAATTGCTTCTGATACACTGTCTCCAGCACACTGTTTTTCAGTTATCCAAAGCAAAAGCAATTTCTCAACATGATCTAATGTCTTCAATCTCTGTTTAGAAATTGATTTAATCCCTTTTGCAACGTTAGCAGGTTTAATAATGTCTTTACTTTTCATGATTGTCGATATCGTCGTTCTCGGAATACGGTATGCAACAGTTAAAATCTCGAACATGCGTGCCACCTTCATATTTCTCAACAATCTCTTTTTTCAGTTCCATTGTGATTCTAGTCATTTTTTTAGTTTTCTGTTTCTTTTCATTTGCCTTATTGCAATTCATGATTGTTAAATTTCTTCTGATTGTAACTTTAATAAAATTTTACTTACAAATTAAAAACTGTGGCACCATGAATATCTAATCTGGTCTAGTACACCGATAGTGTTACTTGTTCATAGATAGCATGTATAATTAAGTCGTATACCGAGCAAAATTTGTTTCGTCCAAACAGGACGTATTCTAAAGCTGACATATACCAAGGTACCACTAATTTATATGGCTTTGTATCATTTAGCAATGGATGACAAATGTTTTCTATAGCTTTCTTCCATTCATATTGTTTTTATTATTTATTAAATTTATTTGTTCATTTGTAATATATCTAACAGCAAAAACAAAATTTTTATTGTACACAATCTTAAATTTGTGTAAAATTCCCTACTGGGTTATATTTTTTAAACTTGATCTATGTACTCTCAGAAGTGTAAATATTTCATAATTGATGCAAGATGCATTATAATTATGCTATTCAACCAAAAATTATTAATTTTCAATTGAAATGCTATGACCAACACAATCTAGTAGGAACACAAAATTACAGCAAAGAGTGTGTTTTGTTGAATGAAATTGTTTTACCAAGTGCAGGATAAAATATAAATCTATCTCCAAATATATTGAGCAATTTTCACATTTGTTAAAACATTTCTTACAAAATCCCAATTGGTTGTGCTAGTGCTCTGATGTGTTTCAATGAAGTAATTTAACCAAAGCACAACAAATCCCCCCCACACTACTGTGCTGCCAGACTTGTCCTGTCAGGTCTTGCTTTAAGATTACATCTGTTTTGGAAGATTACTTGGTTAAAAAATGGTTAACTGATGAAATTAGAAAACCCAGGCAAGGGAAAATTGCTGATGAACAAGTGATGAATTTTGAAGATTAATTCAACTGGTTCATACAATTTGTTCAGCAAAATCACTTCTGCTACAGAGAGAAGCACTAGCCAGGTTACTTTCATGTGTGTTTAACACTTCATAAACTAGTAATGCATCTGGTATCAATGTTTGCTTGAACACACAAAATTTCAAAAATTTTGTGTTTACCAGGAATATTATCCAAACAAAATTTGTAAACATGTTTATGATGATTCTTCACAACATTGTCTTCTAATTGAGAACACAATTACAATGTTTTCCTTTAATATAAAATTTCTTGTAGTGTTGAATACATTTTTGCAAACTTGTTAATAGTGAGGTTGAGGCCAAAGTTTTGAACGCAAAAATGTGTACATCGGATGTTCAGCACCACTTTCCTGTAAGCCTAGAAGTTTGACAATGGTATTTGGATAGTCAGTGGAATCATGCTCAACATTCCAAACACCATTGTCAGACTTGTAAGCTTACAGGAAAGCAGCGCTGAACATCAGACGTACACATTTTGCATTTAAAACTTCAGCCTCAACCTTGCTAATCACGAGGCAATTCCCAAATTGAGACTCATACTGTCAAATCCAGTTATCCAAATTAATAATTATTAAAAAACTGATCTGAAAATCTGATTAATACCTTCACTCTGTCATATACAAGTAGCAAATGGTTTTTTAGTCAAAGGTTTCTTATCCTACTGATATTTCTGAGCATAATTAAGTCATTTGTATAATCTAAATATTGTCTACTTTCCATTTATTAACATTAAAATATTATTTTTTCAAAGAAAACTAAATTACTAATACAAACTTTCACTTTTAGGAAGTCGAAGAGGAGGAAGAAAAAGACGATGATGAAAAGAAGAGGGACGAACTGTGATCTTTAACACATTTGCTGCAGAACTTGCAGTCTATTCCCAGAGAGAATTACGTACAAAAGACTCGTGTGCAGGGAATATATACATATATAATTTTTAATAGAATTAAGTGAAGTCACATAAAATTGAATGGACGTACTGTATGCAAGTTTTTTTTTTAAATCCGTATTTGTTCGACGACATTTGGGACAAAATATATTCGTTAGTTTTTTAATATCGGATAACAAATTTAAACAATTAAAAAATAACTTATTTTGCTAAAGCATTATGGGGACTGAATGGTTTTCAATTATTGTAACAATATAGATTTTAAATTTATAAATGTTATACGAGTATTTTATGTCACTTTCAGACATTTATATTCCAAAAATAATGTTGCAATGCAATTTCTTTTAAGATCATGAGAAAAGATGTTCCTATGTGTGGTTATACTGAATTTCATTAATGTTTTTATTTCTTTTATAATAAATTTGTCAGTTTTAAGTGAAAATAAACAAACAAAAAATAAGTTTGCTATTGTGTAATTTCTTTTCAAAATGTCGTCTGTGTAAAAAGTATCTGGTGAAGATGACCATTGCACATATTACAGGAGTGGTGGGTATTTTATAAAAATAATTGTATAGAACCCTACAGAATTGTGCACCTTGTGTGACAAACACAAGATGCATGGTTCTTACTTTTCAGATGCTAGTTTGCAATACGTTTTATGACATACAGAACATGTGTACTACAAATATACAGTATATGACTTTACAATAAAGATTATTGTTTTTTTATGAAGATATGTCTAATATTTGTTTTGTAAATTACAGTCAATATGAAGAGAGGGATCGATTCCGGTCTGGCACAAAAACAAGATACTGTGTCTGTACTTAAAGATGTAAATTTCATGGAAACAATCGCACAATCAGATCTTATGTTTGAAATATATATAAAAAACAAACGTTTAATGTATATTTCCAAACACTTTCAATAAGACTACTAAAATAAGCCACATCACACATAATAGTCGTCGAATGCGCTACAAAAATTTATTCGTAGTTTCAGCTTCTGTAAAAGTTAGCATTAAATAATGCCATTTTTAATTACACTAAATATGGCATGCTAATATTTTGTTTATAAAACATTACAATATGCTAGAAAAAGTCTTCAAAATAGGATATGTTTTGATAATAAAAACACATTTCACACTTTTTCAAAGTTTTATTTTGACAAGGCTTCCTAGCCAAAGGGGAAAAAAAAAGACACCACAAATTATATACAAAATTGAACAAGCGTATAATCAACCCAAGTTCTGTCATCCCTTTTTATTAGTTCTGGATTTACTGTCCCACAGAGGCTTGCCAGGACAGTCCTATTACTGTTTCACCCCGTGCAATACGGTACTATGAATTTGACGCACTTGATCCGATACACAAAATTAAATTTCGCGACAAAAATTATAAATAGTCAAAAGCACAGTTCCAATTTCGAATGTCTCCAACTTTTTATAAGGCACTTCATGCCTTCAGCATAAGACTTAATCATGGAGAGATGTGTCATTTCATACTTATTTTGCAGGGTAACTGGGGGTGAAACAGATGTAGGAATGTGTTTGACACTAAATATATTCACACATACTTTTTTATATATATATATATAAGCACAGTTTGGACATGGTTTGGAATGTATGTCCTTTCTAAAAATGAACAGATAAGCAAAGCATGAAATTCCTCTTCTCTCCGTCTCCTGGAACTCTGAATTTTGACGAGTTTCTCTCTTTTGAACTATTATTGGAATGGTAATTTTGACACAAAACATTAGCAGGCATGTTATTTATATTTAGCAAGTACATGATTTTTCTTATGCAACTGATATTATCATTTTAATACTTCCATAAAAATAGCATAACTAATGCTCCAATTAAAAAGCTCCAAATTTCACTTGGTTAAATTCAAATCTTGTTAAATTTTTGTTATTTTGTTAATTCAAAATTCTTCTATTAGTAATTTGATGGTACAAATGATTTTTTTTTTACCTTGAGCAAATGGAGTAAATTGACATAGCAAGTGGAAGCATGAATTTGCAGAAACACTCATAAAACTGGCTTCCTCGAAGAAGTACATTCAATATATACCAAAAAAATAAGGCACTGATAAATGAGCAGGGAGCAATAGACTCCTGAGACTGGAAGAACTGTGGAAGGATTAGAAAGGTTTTGTAAATTATCAGTCATGACAATTTGGCATAGTCACTCAAATAATAAATTTTAGAAAACAAAATACTGAAAGGGAGGTTACGCTCCAAGTTCTCAAAAACCTATTGTCCTTTTCTGCATAATATTTTGGTTCAGGTAACTTCTTGATTCCGATTCGTGGATTGGATATGCTTATTGGCAATAAAATACCAGAAGATATGGCAAATAAAGGAATTTGCAAGCCAAAGGATTTTGTTTTCAGTTTGTCATTGTGATTATTTAAAGTTGGCTTTCAACTTCATTAGTTGCAACATATACTGTATGTGCAAAAAATAATAATAGGCTATCAAATTTATTTATGTAATAAGCTATAACAATCCAATAAAAATCACACGAAATTTTACCCCCACCATCAAACAAACTAGAATCTGTTTATTCACAAATAGAACTAATCCATCTCCTAATTTGGAAGACAGTACTTCCTTGTACTCTGGTCAAATTAACCATTTTGGTCCACGAACAGACTAATGACCTATTAAATGATACCTATTTGGAAGAAATAATGGTCCTTCATCAGTTTAATTTATGGGTTTAAATGGCACTAACTTAATTTCGGATCATAAAAATGCCGTCACTTCTTAGAACGGCAAACTCAACAGGAAGGAAATAAATCCATCTTGATTTGAATCTTCCCCCTTTTCTTTACAAAACAGACAAAAAAACTGGACCACTTTATCACAGCATTGTTGCTAAGTGGCAAAATCCACTTTGTCCCAACTCAGAACACCACTTAGTTCTGTCGGTGTTTTAAAATCCATGTCTTCAATAGAAAAAAGATCGAACGGATCGTGAGTACTCGCCATGTTAGAGAGTAGAGGATCATTGTCGTTATTGTTATTGTATGTGTTTTGTGGCCGGTGCAGAAAACTTCCGTTAGAAGACAGGTCGACGGACGTATTCGTGGATGGCTGCATCACGGAATCCAACCAATCGCACAGTTCGATGTCCATATTCGTATTTGTTAATTCATTGTTAGCAGATATTGAATACGATGGATTCTTATTACATTGCTGATGGGACTTATGGGTTTCAGTATGTGTGGATGGACAAACTATACTAGAATCTGTTTTCTGAGAATTATCTTCTGGACCAAGCACTCCAAGATCCATAGCCTCGATTTCATCTAGACCTAGATGAAAATCAAAATCTAGAGTATTTGTTACTCCATTTTCAGTTTCTGTAAGAATTGTCGAAGGTGGTGGAGTAACGGATGGTAACGAAGATGTTGAAGGAAATAATGGAGGAGCATTTGCTGCTGGTTTTCCTGTTTCAGGAGTTGTAGGAGTTGGTGGTTCTTGAGCAGCACTAGGTGGAAGCTCTGAAAGAAAAAAAAATTAATTTAAAACTTATACAATTTATGGCTTTAAAAAAACTATCCAAGATTATATTTCTATCTTTAAACAATAATTTTCTAATAATATTCTTTTAAAACAAGATAAAGATCAACAAATAAAAGTTCATTTAACTAAATTTGATGAAATAAGATCAATCTCAGATAAACAAAACTCAGAATAATATAGAATTTTAGGAAATTTGAACTATTGAGAATAATAAAAGGGAGAAAGTTCTTTAATTCATTATATATTTTTTATGCAATTTATTTACACACAAAAATTTATTTAATTAACTAGATCCAACTAAGCTTTAAGAACTATTACTATATAATTTGATATTTGACTAATTAATGTAAAATTTTTAAAAATCCTAATTCTATATATCTCAATTTATTTATTTTGCTAAATTATACATTGTTATTTATAAATCCCTCTGGGGTTTTGGCACTCAATTACATAATAACAAAAGCATACACACAGAACAGCTTGTATTAATAAATAGAGAATCTCTCAAAGTTTTGGACATACATTACAGGTGTTCTGTATGTCCACCTCTAGTGACATGAGAAACATCAATCCTGTATTCAAGTTATTGCCACATATATCCCAACATCTCACTGTCAATATCGATTGCACAAATGATCCTGTCTTGCAACTGTTCTAAATCATGTGGCATAGAGATACATACACATGATCTTTGATGTAATCCTACAAAAAAAACCACATGGGTTAAGTCAGGTGACTGTGGAGGCCACAGAAGAGGAGAGTCATCATGAGAAGCACATCCAACCAACAACCAGGAAGCTCAGCATTAAGGTGATGGTGGACATCTGAATGAAAGTGTAATGGAGTTCTGTCTTGTTGGAAAATGAAGTCTTCACTATTGTCCTCAAATTGTGGCAAAACTTTCTTGTACAAGCTGGATCCTCTCAGCAGATGGCTGGCCTGTCTGTTTTGAAGGGTACAGGCAGCCAGTCTGCTGAAACTTAGTATATCGTGCATGAATTGTCACATCTGTCAGTGTGTAAGTAATATTTGTTGCAAAATCTACATTGAATTGCCACAACAGATTTGCATTTTTCAAATTCTGTTGCAAAATGCAAAAAACTTTCTTCTTACCACTGAATGTCATGTTTTATCATGACTGCCACCCAGTAATGAAATCTGAAGTTAAAGTGTCAATAGTTATTACAAATGTAAACTTGGAGAGATTCTCTATTGATATGAGCTGTTCTGCTGTGTCTGCTTTAGTTATTACACTATTGAGCACCAAAAGCCTGGACAGAGTTATGAATAATCCTATAAATTCTAAAAAAGATATATATGTCCGTTTAGCAAAACCAAACTTAAATTATTGTGTAGTCAAAGATCTTATAGAAACTATCAATACTGCTAATATATTCTGACAAAGAAGTAAGTAATATATATATATATATAAATAAATACAAAAATAATTACACAATTATAGAAAGATATCTAATTTATACAAAAACAATGACATTAGTTTATAAAAAAAAACAGACAGACAATGAAACCAATATTTTTTCCAATATCCTTCAGAAAAAATATTTTAATGCAATTAAGACATTTTTCATATAATTTTGTATACTATAACTAAAGCAACCCACAGAGTTATGGGGACTAAGGCAAAATACAAACGAGCCTATAGCAAATTAAAATTATTATATTAAAGTGAAGGAAATAAATAAACATTGTATAGGGGACCCTAATTCTTTGGGGTTCAGGATAATGGGGTTGCTCCTTTTTCTCCTTCAAGCATCCTTGATCAAAACCCAGTCAGTATTTAGCAGTTAACAAGTTTTATCATAAATAAATATTTTATGTATGATTTTGAAAAGTCAATTTTTTATCAATTCTTTTTACCTGTACATTATTAATATAAAAACAAAAAAGTAAAACATTGTCTACTTGGACCTTGTTTATAAACAGGACTTATTATATTGGTGTAGTTTCCTCTCTTTGCTAATCAGAAACTACACCAATATAATAAGTTTGTTTATAAACAAGGTCCAAGTTGACAATATAAAAATAAAGTCAATTTTTTTAATTAACATAATATCAATATTTCAAATCCTAATATTAAAATTATAAGGCATCTGGATAATAAAAATTTAAATATCTGGTTATAAAATCTTTCTTACTATTAAATACTTACCATTGCTTAATATACTGTATAATCTTAATTAATTAACTGCAGTAATATGCAATCATCATTCTTATTGAATATTACTTCAATATTATTTTTGTTAATTAAGTAATACTTTCTTTTTATCTTATATTAAATAGAGATTACCTCCATTTTTAATTAATATTTCCAAAACATCATCAACAGCTTGGCTTTTAACAGATTTTTGTCCCCGGGGTCGCTTTGTCGTCAATTGTTTAGCAATTCCTAATTGGAATTGTTGAATAGCCTACAAAATGAAAATGCATTAATACCGATCAATCTTGAATATAACAAAATCTTTTCATTAACTGAATAATAATCAAAATAAAAATATAAATGATTTGTAATTGATTATCAGATGATATACAGGAAATAGCTATATCTATTTACTTAGAATTCAATTTTAATTTATGAAATTTACAGAGATACATACATATTGAATAACAGAACTGTTTAGAAAATTAATGTAAATATTTTTTAGACCACAATGATCTTAAAAAAATGTTTTAACATACAATTTATCCAAACAAAACAAATTTGTTCTATTTTATTTTTGAAAGACAAAATAAAACAGCAATAGGCAATCAAATATCCAAAAATAAATTCATCAAAAGTATTTTTCATAGCATCTAAATTTATATTAATATTAAAACTTACACATAAGAAAGAAAAAGTATGTGACAATTTCTTTCACATTTTATGATGGCATATTCATTTACTTTCAGAAATACTTCTACATTTTACTCACAATTACTATTAATTAGAACTGAAATGGTAATAACTAAAAAATATAAATCATCATCAAGAATAATTAAAACTTACTGAAAACAAAACAGCAAAAATAGAACTTCATTTCTGTTGTTTTATTTTCAAAACTAACTTAAAGTTGACGATTTAAATTAAATGAATTGATTTTTATAAATAAATATGCAGTTTGAATTTATTAAAATAAAATTTTTCAGTAATTCCATATGTTTTTGAATACACACACACAAATAAATAAAAAACAACGCATAACAACTTGATGTTTTGATATTAGATACATAATACTATATTAATAATTACAAAATATGATGTCAATAATTTAAATCATCTTAACAGTATGTAATTTCAGAAACTCTCTTTAGAAAAAAGTCAGATTATATATTCTTTTAAAATATCATGCAAATTACCTGATTTGATTTTAACTGTTTTGTTGCTTCATCATAATTTGGTGGAAGTCTACTATTCTGAAATTTAGGATCAGTATTTGTTCTAACTGGACAAGGCTTTGTAGTTTGCAATAATGCAAAATTTGGAAGTGATGATGCTCTAAAAAATAAAATTTTTTAAAATTAAAAATCTTCAGAAATAATAACACAAGGAAATGACAACTCCATGCGAAAAATGAAACTATTTCCTTGCTGAGACTACTATCAGGAAATTTATTTTGATTTACCATCACTATTTTGTAGCACTTTTATAATTTGTACTTTAACTTTTTATAAACAGTCTGTAATAACCATGGCTAGGACATCTAGACACAAAGTCTTATAATTTATAACTATGATTTTTTGTGCCTAAATGGCTCAGCCTGCCTTAGTAATTAATAACCGAATGAAAATCAAACTCAAAATTTGCAAGAAAATAACATTTTATTAATTTTTATCATTGACGTTTCACTCAGTATTAGTCTGTGCATTAATATTGAATTAATATTAATAATTTGTCCAAAAGTGAAATATTCTCTAAAGCAGATTTATTATTTTTTAAATATCATACAAGACATTGAATTGAATCTTACAAAAATTAACCATAACTTGTGTCTTTTTTGTAATAAAATTAGCATGCAGAGCCTTTGTATTGTTCTATTTTGGCACAACAGTCATATAAGATTGCTGTGACAATCTGGACTGTCAATCCTGAACTAGACACTTATATCTATACTAAAAGAAGGTAATACCATATCATATACTCAATTTGCAGATACTATGGTAGGAGACCTTATTTATCAAATCAAATTTCATGAAGTGGTTACCTAAATATTAGATGTAAAATAACCAAATCTACATTATTTCCAAAAGCAACTGAAAGGGTTTTCACTCAATTCCTTAACAGATTTTATCTTTAAAAAGGAAACAAACTTGCCAAACTTTGTGCTGATAACCTACACCAGTAATAATTCACAATGGCATACACCTCACAAAAAACTGCAAGAATGAAAATAAAACCTTCATGTAACCCATCCTACCACATACCCTGCACCTCAAAAGTGGATGTTGAAAGCAAGATAATTACCAATATAAAGTTTAAAAGTTCCCATCTCAAATATTAATATATTGCATTTTGGGTCACAATTTGAAAAACTGTAGACCTATAAATTCCCAATGTTGTCCATCTGTCTGTCCTTAACCTTATCAATACAATTATAACAGAAATATAACATAATTCAAAATGTATTGTTTGTTTGTTAAGTTATGGCAATGAACACTTCGGCAATCTGCCTAGGGGGATGCCTTCTGGGAGGTCTTTTTAAGGGAAACTGGCTCCCATTTAGGTGTTACAGACGTGGAAAAAACCCAGTAAACTACATGTAACCAGCCCATCCGAGCAAGGTGAGAACCCACAACTGAACTCCCAGGGCTGATTGCAGAGAGAAAGTTTAGAGGCCGACGGCGATTTACAGATCGGGTAGACCACTGTTCAGAAAAATTTCATTGCAGAGACGGCGTTTCTCGCCTGCCACAATGTAGACAGCGATTAGAAACAAGTTATTTGACCTATTTTCTAGACTCACTGGACAGGAGATTTAGAGGGCTTTTCAATTCGAGTGGTAGCTTTGTTCGTGGAAAAGTTTAGATAAAAACAGATATCTTTCCTTCGATAAATGTTGTAAATGGTACAAATCGACAAAATTATTCATTAATTAATTGCTCGGCGCAAAAACAACAAAATTAAATACTTTAAATTTGTTTTAAATGTTCCAATTTCGACATTCAAATGGGTGAAGACTTAAAACTTCAATTTAATTTAAATCAGATGCATTTATTTACAATTCCAGTATCGTGTCGGTTATAAAACGTTAATGCATTTCCGAGTCATTGTACTGTTAAACAAAAGAGACAATTTTAATAATTACAGAAATCTGTTTATAGATATTAAAAAAAATGCAATATTAATAATAAAATATTTAAAATTATTCATTTCGACAGTAATAAGATGTCGAAATAATTCCTTAAAAATCTATTCCGAAGACGAATTTCGAATTCGGTATAAATTTTCTAAATATGGATTTGTTCATATTTTAAATCGTATTGGCGACGAAATTAAATATCGAAATGGAAAAGGATTGTCATTAATTGCCGAACAATGATTTTGACGGCCTTAAGCTTTCGGAATATAGCTGACGACCATTTCTGACGTCACGAAGAAATAATCCGATTGGCCGAACGACTCCTAAAACAGGGGAGTAATAGCGAAGTAAGTAAGAGCCAATGTTTTGCCGAAGTTCGTTTAGAGAACGGTCAGAAATAGACGATCGTCGTCTTTGCAACGCATTTTAAACTGCGGTTCAGCCAGCCAACGGCTATAGGCCGTTCGTTGATAAACGTCGTTTAATGTAAACTCTGTCTCTGCAATCGGCCGCCAGTATTCAGGATATGAAGACCACTTGGCCACCAGTGGGCACCTCAAAATGTAATATTTGGAATCTTGGAAATGATAGAATTTATATATATATATATAAATTCTATCATGACCCTTACATACTAATCTCTAGAAAAAACAATGCATGCTTAGTACATAAGAGAAATTAAAACTAAAATTAATCATCTGAAGTAAGTATAATTGGACATTATTTAATTAAAAAATATACTACATTAAATTGAATTTACCTTGAATTTAATGGTGTATGACAGGAAACTGATTTTTGAAGAACACCATTAGGTAATGAATTGATGTGAGATTTATCATTAATATTTAATGTTGAAGTAGGCTGAGTCAATACAACCGGTACTGTGGCTTGGTTTATGTGACTGGATGTAGTGGGTGCAGTTGCAAGGACATGAGAAGCTATAAGTGTTGCAGGAAAACTTGTTAAGGGTACAGATGTAGGAACAGAATTACTTGTTGCAGCATTTTGTTGATTATGAAGGAATGCAGCTAAACTTGCTTTCACTGAAGCAGATGATGGTTGTGTTGAAACTATAGGTATACCTATAAATCATAAATACATCTCAAAAATTAACTTTCAGTTTGACAAAAAAAAATTTATTCAACACAAAACTTGCCTTGTTGAGAATTTTGATTTTGTTGAAACTTTTGTTGTAACAGTTGTCTCGAAAACAATTTAGAATCCACAGAATTATCCTGAGACACTGCAGAAGATATAGTTGAAGGTATTGAACATGAGGGACTATTTGTAACAGAGGATGGTGATGTTAATGCAACTGCAACAGCTGCAGGAGAAGCAAGTATATTTGATGATTGTGCTTTTTGATGATTTAATATAGACTGATGTTGTTGTAATTGTAAATGAGACCTGTAAAATATTATTTAAGATCAATTAATGAAAATATTGTTTAATATATTTATTATAACTATTTAAAAAATATATTAGTCACTTCTTAATGTTGAAACATTCTTTGCATATTTATATATGATATAGCATATATTTATGTTTAATAATTACTTTTTAATTTAGATTTATTAGATTATTTTCAGAAATTTAAAAAGAATTGATTCTTTTCTATTCTATTCTAAGTTTCAGCAGTGATTTATTATTTCAGTTTTTCAAAAAATCCAGAAGTTAAGATATTAATACAAGAAAATTTATCATATTCAAATAATAATTGCCATACTGATTAATTAAATAGATTTATAATAAAATTTATAAATTTTATTATAATCAAATTGACTGTCAATATAAACATCTAAATCTAATAGTTTGTATATAAAGCTAAATGACTGGTGAATTATATCATGATATATTACTACTACTATCCCACTTTGTGCTGATTCTTTTCTTCCAGAACCTTCTAAATTAATTACTAAATTCTTAATTTAATTGTAATTATTAAATTTAGCAAGAGATATACCTAACACCTACCTCTAGTGCCAAATTACTTAGCATTTAATTAATAATAATAGTAGTAGTATTAGTAGTAGTAGTAATAGTAGTAGTATAACCTGATATAATTCAGCAATCATTTGGCTTTAATTGACTGCCAATTCAGTTACTGTGATTATAATCTACATCAATTAAAATTTCATACTTAACTGAAACTTCGTAAGTATTGTATTTTTTAAATTCTAGTTTTAAAAATATTTTAATTTATATTTATCAAAATAAATTTACATTATCAGTTTAATGACATTCTACTTGGATAATAATTTCTGAAAAATATTTACCATTCTAATTCCCGCTGAAGTTCCTCAATTCTTTTTTGTTGCAATTTAACAATATTTTCATTCGATGCAACAACTGGAATGGTATTATTAATATCTATTGCATCATTATTCGGATTACTATCAATGTCCATTGGCACAACAGAAGAAGGGCGAGATCCACTCAACTGAGTTTCTTGAAATGGTTCTTGTTTTACTATATCTATTCCAGGTGGTGTATTATCATTATTCATAGTCATTGGCGAGGTTGGAGGTACCTCTGAATCACTCTGACATGTCACTGATGAATAAGCATCTAGTAATAAACCACTAACATTTACTGGCATAGTAGGTGAAACAGTAACTATGTTGCCAGCTGTTGATGTAGATATGTTTGCTGCAAAATCTGAATAAGGTTTTAAACGTTCTATTAACTGAGGTTTTGACCCAGACACTGGGAGATTTCTTCTTTTTAATTCTGCTTTTAAATCACTAACTAAAAAATGTATTAAAGAACAATTTTTAATAATTAAAAAAATATAAATTAAATTGTTAAAAAATTGGAAATAATTTACCTTTCATATCTTCTAATTTTGATAATGTACGAAGAATATCTTGATTTTGTGTTGAATGTGAAATATTTGTTGTCTGTCCGTTTGAAACTGTTTGGTCCCCAGATGAATTCTGAAAAAGCATTATTATTATTTAAATATAAGCATTTTAAATTAGTATTATTGTTTACAAATATAAAAATAATTTTATAAAATATTGAGAAATGTCATTTTTAAAGCTAAATATTTTGAAAAAAATTTCAATTATTCAATATTTGTTCAAATTTATAAATTCAAAAAACAATGTTACAAATTTCAATTTATACTAACTATAACACATTAAAATTTAAAAATTACATTAATATTTAATATACATTACTTCCAACTCTGACACAACTTTTTAAAATAATATGATTTATTTGCTAATTATTATTACTACTTATTTTTTTAACACATACAGTAATGTGAGATCCTAGAGACCCCTCTCTTTCCTTTAGGAAAGTTTATTTGATAAATCATAACTAACTGTTAATTTGTATGAACATCATTACCTAACCAATTACATGATAAGAAGAGTCAAATAACAAAGAGGAAAATTAAACTTCCAAACGGTCAAACTCCCACAGCTCTAGATGGCCCACAATGACACATCTGGAATAATATTGCAGCAGTGACAAAGTCACCTGATTAAATTTTCACACCCAATGGGGATATAATGGGCTCACACCTGAGGTTCCAGGCAGACATCTCAAAGAGTGTGGACCAAAGCTCTTGTCTCACCAGCTCTCATCGCCCTTCTCCTCCAAAATCAGTCTCCAAAGAAACTCCCGAGCACTATGCTACCTCAACCACATCCAAAGACATCATGTATTATCTCCCAGAGGTATTATTATACTTAAAGCATTGTAAACTCTCTCTTGGGCAACTTAAGAAATAAGTAGGTAGTATATAGTCAATATATTTTAGTCCATAAACTGATTATCAGATGAAATGTTGCTTGTTATGTACATGTAAACTTAGTGTAATAGTTATAATATACTCATTGTGTCATTTAGCTTATTAAACTGTTATTTATAGTTAACTTGCCTAAGTTTCACCTTATTCAAAAAACAAACCTATCAACCTACCCATGGCACTCCCCACTCAATGTTTAGATAAAGCCGTCCTATTTAACACTAATTTAAGTATACTGTGAGTTAGGACGCAAGTTTGAACTATCATAACTGGTGTCAGGACCTGATGTTGAAGGGATCTTACCATCCTGATGACAACTAATAAAGCCATCCAGTGACCAAGTGAGTGGGCCTAACCATCACGATGTTGGAAAAGGAGTTTAAACCAATAAATTCACCCCTCCCCACAATTTCTTACAGTAATGTCTTATTCATGACAAAAGACTTGAGATAACCTTCACCATTTAATAAAACAATTTAATCTCGTTGGCATATTCAATATGCCAACAAGATTAAAACAAATTATGTTAACACAGATGTCATGAGAATATAATGGAAAATGCTAGAGTTGAACCACAAAACTTTCACTGTAATAGTAATTTAAATCATAAATATATTTTAAACTGCAATGATATTTTAACGATTTTAACTGTAAATACATAATTTTAAACAAAAAAAATATATATATATATATATATGTGTGTGATAATGCCGAAGGGCCTCCCTATACTTTGGCGAAGATTGCAATGACAAGTTTCGTCAGGACAGACACAGAAACCGTTACATTCTCGCACACATGATCGCTGGTGTGAGCGAACGGATTCGGGATGGAGAGAGAGACAACGCACCGGAAGTGACTTATGCAGAGAAGAGTTAACATAACAACTATTTAATGGGTAATTATAGGCCATACAGGACACAATATATCGAGAGAAAGAGAGAGTTTACAGTAAATATGCGTGGTGATAAATACCTTGAGTTCTAGTGATTTGCTAGTAGGTCTTGAGGCTCTTGACAATGTGTCCAGTTAGGCAATCAAGTATTTTCCAGATAAGTCCAGATAATAGGCATTTAATAAGTCCGATGGATGACAAAGTTAATCCAGTGAAAAACAGAACGCACATGGAAAAAGATACGGAGCTTGCGACTGATTTCTTCTAGGATGGGGCGACAACTGCCGCACTTTGTTGTTCTGTTCTATATGTTGTACTGTTGAAATTGAATATGAGGTCGAAAGGTGATAAGAAAGCGTCGTTACTAGGCCTGAGAACTTAACAGATGTTTAACTCCCAGGTGTAAAAGTTGATAGTTATTTAATGAAAGTATAGCTATGATGTGATATTATGATGTAATGATATAAATATACTGAAAGTCTGGATTCAGATCCTCACATATATGTAACAACGAAACCTAAAGAAAATTCTGGATGTAATGCCGATGGATGAGAGGCCTTGCCTGAAACGCATATCAGCCTATGGAAGATTAATAAAGATGATGTAAAATGCCTTGTCTCTATTTATATACCTAGTAGTGAAGAAAAAAACAAATAAAGGAAGACACGGTCTCAGAAATACATAACTATAGTAATAAATTTTTGTTTATAAGAAGATTGTATTATGCTTTGAGTGATTTTAATGTACAAATTGGTGACAATAATATTTGAAGTTATATTTGCAATAAATTTGATATAAATTCTAACTTTAGATAGGGTTGAATACATGCATTATTTTATATGAGAATAATGAGCTGGGTTTTGCTCAAAATACTCTACAATAGATAAATAGTTATTTTGTATACTTTTATTTAAAAAAACATTAAAAAGAAAATGTAAAGCAAATGAATTTTGTTGATTTGTCAGTTGCTTTTCAAAAAGTGGATAGAAATTTACTATGGAGTAAATTATTAAACTATGATATTAGTTTTAAATTTGTTTCTCTAAAATCTGCATTATATAGCGGTTATATTAGGATATCATAGTGTAGGATTTGTTTAAATTAGTTTTTATAAATAAAAGGTCAGACAGTAACAATCATTGAATCCTATACTTTTTAGCATTTTTCTAAATGATATAACTGAAAATAATACAGTAGATCGTTGATTATCTGAATGTCGATCAACCAAAATGTCGGTTAACCGAAAGCGTTCCAAGTCGGACTGTGTCAAGCTGAATTGAATGTTTTTGATACTAGATTAACTTCTAAAGTCTATTTTTTTTTGTTTTTATATTTTTCAATATATTTATTTTGTTTTTACAAAATAAAGGAATAATTTTTAACGATACAATAGCCACGATTATTATTATAAAAATTTTCCTTAGGCTTAACATCGACGAAAATTCAATGCAAAGCGACACACAACAGAGAAAATTTTAAACATGGGATATATTAATATACTATTATTGGGATATACTAATATACTATATTAATAATGTATTTTTTCGTACATAATCGGTTATCTGAAAAATCGATTTTCTGAACAACCCCAGTCCCCAATTGATTCGGATAATCAACGCTCTACTGTGATTCAAATTGAAAAACTATTGCAAGTTATATATAAGGTAACCTATCAACTATGCTCATTCTATTAATAATTTTGGTATAATTTTCAATGAGAAATTTATTTTCAAAAGTTATACTAAATCATTAATCAAAATATTTTCAATTCATAACAATATTCTCTTTGACACCACAGTTGCCATATTTCCTCTTCATCTGTCCTTTGGGTTCTCTTTTTTGTTAACTTCCAAAAATTGTTGATTATTGCTTGTTCTTATGTGCTGTTTCTGCATTATTATTGCTACTTAAACTTTCTTCCAAACTTAAAATCTTTATATCCTCTTCAAGTTGCTCTAGACCTGGCAAAGTTGTCAATGTGAGACTGATTTCCAAACTTATTTCACTATATTGATTACTTCCCCAACAAATTGTTTTAAAATACTTTAACTGGTTTTTTCTTTCTTTGCATTATGTGCTGTTAAGAATAACTTGAAATACTTCATACATACCCAACTTTCATCTTTATCCATATGTTCCACCTTTCATAGAGCAATAAATGCACTTGCTCCAGTTGAAGATTTTCTTTATTACAATTTTATTTAAGAACTTGGGTAAAACTTTATTTATGACGCATTTTAATATTTTTCCACCATTTTAAGATGCAGTTTTAAATATATTATTTTGGTATAATTTTTAACTTCTTTTACTTTTTTAAATTTGTATATTTTGTCATACTTTTCTATATTGTATTTATTATTATACACACATTAATGTTTTTTGTTTTTAAAGGTTTGTCTATTAAGGCATAGTCTATCTATTTATAAAACATTATTTTATGTAAATAAGTACTTTAAAGTTTTAAATTTGTTTTCAATAATTATTAGTTCAAATACTTTTCTAAATTTTATTTTAAATTATCTAAACGTTATTTTTAGTCACTGAAATTATATATCAATAATTTTTAGTAAATCAACACAAATGACTTATAATATAATAATATTAGTAAAAGTTATAATATAATAAATGCAATGGTGATCTTTTAAACTTAATGAATTTCAACTACTTTCAATTGTTGTTGCTTTCAATTATAACACCCACTCATTCTGTTGTTATATAATTTTTTCATTATGTTCTTACCTGTGAAGCAGACAATATAATTTGTGGATATTTTTGCTGCCATTCTAATTGCCACTGCAAGAGTAATTGCTGTTGCTGCAATAATAATTCATATGATGTTTCAGATGATACTGTTGTTGTTGTTTGGTTTTTCTGGGCATTTGGTGGACCCTACATTTTGAGATTTAAAAATGATTATATTATCTTGAAACTCTGATAAAAATATATTGAAATAATTTGATAATCTGACTTTCAAAATAGATCTTAAAATAACATAAGATTATTTAAATATTTACTCTTTTTTCTAACTTTCCAATATTTCATTTTTTCTCTCAGCATCAGTTAAAGATTAAAACTTTTTTATTTTAACTGACAAAAATATAATAAAATATGAAATGTGAGCACATAAAACAATTTATCAATCTATAGAACTTCCTATCAATTTAGATATTAAACATTGTTCTTATTAAAATACATTTACTTTTAATATGTTATAAATAATGCAATTCTCAATACTACTGTTTATCCTTTTTCTCCTTTTCTATGGAAAAAAAAGGACACTGGGAGGCAACTCTAACATTTATTTTACAAATGCATTTCAACCTGTTCTTTTAAAAAGGTCTTCTTCAGTCTATAAATTAAATGAAAAAAAGAAAAAGCTCAGATAATTACAGAAAGAATTACAAATTTCAATACCCAAACAAACTTACAGATAAAAAGTTTTAATTCCACAATCACTTTTTTTTTCTGATAAAAGGAAAAAAGATTTCTGTAAAACTAAAATATATACAACAACACTATCTGCATCGCATAAATCAATTTCTACAATATCAGTAAATCAATTTCTACAATATCAGTAAATCAATTTCTACAATATGTAAATAAAAATATCTGAACAGCAGTCACTCAAAACTATGAACAGACTTAAAAACTTATTGCTTCAATTTTATAAATTAACAGAAAATCAATGTTGTGGCATCTCCAAAATAAGAATTTTTACCATTCATGTTACAATTTCAAACAATTGCTTATATGACAATTATTTTATACTTAAGAGTAATTTACATTTTTTAATACAGTTTTTGTATTCATTTAAAATATTTTCTAAAAACTTTTTTTTTATATTCCATTCTTTCAGAACTACTAAAACATTAATAATTATGAATATAAGTTCTATTCAAATAATTTTCTTTTATACACAAAAGTTTTAAAAAAGGAAAAAATTGTCTCCTGGTATTACGTATTTTCTATAGAAAAGAAAAAAAATAATGAACAGTGCTATTGAGAATTATACTGCCTAAGATATATTAAATTCAAGATTGCCCTCCATCTTTCTTGATGGATAAAACATGTTTATTTATTTGAAACATTTTTTAATATAATTTAAATTGCTGTCATAATGAAATTTAACTAAATAATACAAAAACTAAACTTTGTATAATCTCAATAACTTAGCTTGAAAATAAGCTTTGGTTAAAAGCTTTTCCCCCTACACATTCCTGTACATGTAACACAAATTTTTCAAAACTTCTTCTCACATATATGATAATAGTGATATTACCATCATATCAAAGTATTTTAACAATTCTTTGAACTAAATGAAATTGTTAATTTCAAAGAAAATTTTGTATCAATATATTTTGTAAAAATTGCAAAATATATTTTATATCATTCAGTAATAACTAAAGTGAATTATAAATTTGTATATCTTTTCTTTTTATTTAAATTGTACTCTTAATAGAAATAATTCTTAGTCGTATAATTGAAGAAATACACACACTTAAGTAGCATGACAACCTTCAACAATTAAATATTTTTGTAGCTTTATTTTGTCTGAAAAATATAGAAAAATAATTTTATGGTCCTTTTGAGAAACATCACAGTCGTCCTATCATCTATTTCCAGCTGAACTCATTTCACATAAGCCCATGCTATCACACAGTTTAAAGAGCTCACTACAGGAGCCATTGAAAAGACATTGTTCTGTAAAGAAAACATTATCCCATAAACTAAACAACTATGTCAATGAAATTTTGCATGCTCATAGAAGACACATCATAAGATTTTTCAGAATGATCAAATTTGAGGATTTTGTGCATAATTATGCTGCATGTAATTTCAGCATAATTATGCACAAAATCAGTGGAGGGAAAAAACCAACCATCTTACATGTGATCACATGTTAAAAAAGTGCATGTAGTCACAGGTTAATAATAAGATTTACAGATTTTGTTTTTTAAATTCAAAAACTACAGTATTCTTATCTGTTGATTGACTTAAATATTGTAAACAAATATAAAAACATTTCATTTAAATACCTTATATTCATGAAATTTGATTGTTCTTGTTTTTGGTTGTGCTTTAGATTTGCTTTTTTTCCTGTTTTTATTAGATTCTTTCTGATTATTTCCAGTTCCCACTGCCACTGTTTGCACAGTTAAAGGTGGTGAACCCAAAGAAGTACTAATAGGACGTGGTGGTGGAGATGATGTTAATGAATTCACAGGAGATGAAGTCACTGAACTGACTGGTGATGTTGCAAATGAAATTACAAAAGATCCTGGAGATCCATGATTAGGACCAGGAGATAAGTCACTTGGTTCTAATGAGGGAAAGCTATATATATACAAAAAAAAAATTATGAAGTATTATTTGAAAAAGAAATAATTTTCATATTAATGTTAAAATCAAATCATTATAAAAAATAATCATTAGGTATTTATTATTTAAAAATAATATTTAGCAATATAAAAGCATAATTAATTTTAAATGAAATATGCTGATCAGAATTATAACTGACCAATGAGAAACAAATTACAATCCATGATCCATAATGCAATTGCATATTAAAAAATTGTTACATGTGAAATCTTAATATTAAAAATATATTTGAACTCATTATGATATATTATCTTTATTCATTGTATCAAATAGTTATTTTATTTAAATGATAATTATGATAATTTAATATGCTATTCTCTTTTAATCATATTTGACTAAGGAAAATAAAAAATTATACACATCAGTATTTTTGTGCAATTTTTAATTCTTTTTAAATAGGAACTAAGTTTTTTTTTTTTTATTTTTAATGAAAGGGGCGGAAGACCAGGACTACTCAGGGGTATCGCCTGGGTGAAAAGAAAAAGGGAGGAGGGGTAATGGATGAGGGGGTGGAAGTGTGATAGGAAAGATGGTGAAGATGAGAGAAATCGTCAGCGCGAACAACACAGTAATATAAATAGATGGATACATGTGTGGTATGCGAAAATAAAGAGTGTACACGTAATTATGGCGCGTTACATATGAAAGAAAAGCTTTGTGGTTATAGAATAAATATAAATACCGGAGTTGAAAATGGTGATAGTTACAAACGGGTGCATGTTTTGCCGGTTATAACGCGGCCCCTGGTGTAGAGGTCAACTGTCGTGTGAAGAGTCCCTTGTCTGATTCCGGTTGGTGAAGTTTGGATTTAAAGCGCCGGTTTCCCGGATAAAATCGGTAAGTCCATTGTAGGTGGCACTGTTGTTGATGAGGAGATCGGGCGTGCAGGGCCAGTTGAATCCTTCAGTGAGGGCTTTGTGAATGAGTTGATCCCTCTGTGTGTCATAGAGGTTGCAATCAAAGATGAAGTGCAGGGGATCCTCTATATCGCCACTGTCACACTGACAGAAGGGGGTATCGCTGTGGTGGAATCTGTTGAGATATTGGCGAAAGTTCCCATGGCCAGTGAGGAGTTGGCTGGTGAAATAGTTGCCATTTATGTGGTTGAGAGAGAGACGGTTGGGAATGTTAGGCAGGAATTTAAAGGTAGTCCTACCAGTGTCCGCCTCTTCCCATTCCCTCTGCCACATGTGGATGAGCGTTTCTCTAATGAGATTCTTGACAGCCACCGTTGGGATGTCATCAAAGCTTGGTGTAACAGGAGAAGTGGCTGTCTCCTTAGCCAGCACATCTGCTTCCTCATTTCCTATAACACCTTGATGGGCGCGGGTCCACGAAAAGTAGACGAGGTTGCTTTTGCTTTTCTTCAGTTCGTCTATGATGAGTTGGTGGAGATGGTTACGCTGGGTTTTCTTGCTTATGCTCCAGAGAGCGGCCTGGCTGTCAGAGCAGATGCAGACCTGCTTCCCGCGGAGCTGATTGGAATTGTTGATGTAGACCAATGCTTTGTAGATGGCGTACTGTTCTGCTTGCATGATAGAGCAGTAACCTGCAAGTTTAAAGCCCTTTTTGTGGACTGGATGTGTACAGTTGCTATTTCTGTGCACGATGGCAGCGCCCGTACCAAAAAACGATTTTGACCCATCTGTGAAGATGGTGTTGGCATTGTTGATGTTGGAAACACTAGGATCAGTGAGAAGATTAACGGTAGGAGATAAAGCAGGATGCCTGCAATGCCTGTGAAGAGTAACTTGGGTGTTCTTGTGGTTAAGCATGAGGGTTTGTTGCATATCCAGGCTGGGGAGGATGCCAATATTTAGATAACTTATTAGCTCAGTCTTCGTACGATCTGAGAGACTGAGGTTGGTGAGATACCAACTAGCTGCATTGGCCTTTACGCTTAAATGTATTGGAGGGATGCCCGTAATCACCTGTAGGGCAGATGTGGGGGCAGTCCTGTAGGCCTTGGTGATCTTGAGGAGGCTGACACGTTGAGCCTTTAGAAGCTTACGCTTTACATAAACTTTATCCACTGCGTCCCCCCAAAAGGGCGCACCATAAAGGATGGCCGGCTCTATGGCCAGGCGATAGATATTTGTTAAGTTCTTGCTGTTGAGGCCCCAGTTTTTTCCTGCGAGAAAGAACTAAGGTGTGAAAGAACTAATAGGAACTAAGTGTGAGATTAGCAGTGGGCCACTGGGCTCATCCCAAATGACCACTTACTCTGCAACAGGTTGGTAAAACCTGTTCTCGGTTTGTCGGATGGCTAGGAGGGCAAAAATTTGAGTGGGGAGTGCGTCGGTAAGTCGGCAGTTGTACATCAGAGGCAGGAGACAGGTTTAAAAACAAACAAGCATTTATTTATATAACTAAGCTAGGATACATAGGTTAAATGCGATTAAATAAATTCACTATACAAAAGGGCCGCTCTAATAGCTTTCCTGCTAGTCTGAGAGAGTGTTCACAAAGCTCTAAAAAGTAGAAATACCTCTATGCCGATATGTCTAAAATGCGTTTGTTGAATATGTTCGTTAATGGCGATGGAAGTTCAAATGGCTGTGGTTGGTCATATGTCCTTTCAGTCCGGAGTATGGAGACAAATATGGCACATCTACCAAGTATAACTTCCGAGGGATCGCGCGGAGCTTTCGGGGACTCGAGCTTTTATACGTTATTCGTGGGAAATGAGTCACGTGATCGACTTCAGTTGACACTTACGGTGCATTCCGATCAACTAACTGTCAACTTTCACACCTTAATGTGAAAACAATCGGTGACCTCCGATATACTTCTCACCAAGAGTGTTATTTTTCATCGGAGTTGTTTACAAAAATTTTCCCGACATCGGCGTAAAAATCGCAGATTTCACATAAGTTTATCTTTTAAACTAGGACATTGTGTGACTTTGTCATATTGTGATAGAAATGAAGTGGAGCAGGAAGGAAAGAAGCAATCCCAGCATTCAAAATCTATATATATAAGACATTGTAGCGTCTGTAATGGTATCCATTGCCTAAAACACCCACTAGGGACGTCCTAGCGATGATTTTAAATTAACAATAAATTATTTTTATTTGTAATACGAATTTATTATTGATATGAATTTATTATATGCCTTGCCTTATTATATGTCTTGATTAACCTTGCGCCGCACATTTACAACATCCCGTGACTCATTGAACATTGCGCATTGACTCACAGGAAATTTGTTGAAAAAAATGGGGGATACATTTAAAATTGAGGTTTACAAGCAAAGGTAAATAAACAAATTAAACTATTTTAAAGTATTTATAGAATGTTTAATAGGTAGAAATCTAGATCCATATGACGATTGGGACTTTAACAGAGCTGTAGAGCATATTGATAGGAAAAAAAAGTCAAAGGAACTGTGCCTCAGGAATTTGTAAAGAATGCCCACTAGGGGGTGTCCCAGGCTACTCGTTTTTTTAGATTTTAAAGGTTTTCAGCTTTTGGAATTTCAGATAAAGCATTCTCAATCTATATAATAATATTGGTTAAAATTTTTTTTGAAACTATTGTTTTTATTTTCAATTTTCACTCTAAAACTTAAATTTTCACTCATATCTGAAAATTTTTACACTATTACTCTACCTTAAACATCACTAAGGACATCAAAACTATTATCAATAACCTTATTCAAGACAGTTATTATTTATATGACGAGGATTGGGTCTGCCCAGCAATTTGACTATCTGGAAAAATTTCTGAAGATAACATTGAAGTATGGTTTTACAGAATGCCACAGATGGTGGCAATTACCTAATTTTATACAAATATCAACATCAAAAATCTGATAGTTACATATTAAAGCCAAAACAATTGCAGGATTATATCAGGCTATAATACTACTGTACTATTATTAATAGTAGTAGTAATATAGTCCAATATAATCTGGCAATAGTTTGGCTTTAATTTATAATTTTGTCAAATGCATTTAAAAATTTAATTAAAAATAAATTATTAATTCAATGGAATTTAGATTATTAAACTATCAAATTTTTAAATTTAATTCAACAGCAAAAACAATTCACATATTAAGGAAAGTTTCAGAAATAAAACTATTACTTTTAGATAGTTTTGTATTTTATAACCTGACAATTGTCTGGTAAGTGAATTGAAAATGTTTGTTTGAAAACTAAATTTTTTTACTATTAAGATGTGTATTTTATCTTTGATATTTATTTATTTTAATTGTTATAAGAACTTAAAATGTTAAATAATTATAATATGATCTATTTTATATTTTGTTAAAAAAAAATGTTTTATATCCTAACAAATATATCAAAAACAAATAAAAACTACCTGCTTTGAGATATGTCACTGGTATCTTGTGGAGGAGACAATGCAGCTTCACTGCTACTATCTTCTTCATCAATCATTATTGATTCTAAATGTTTTTGTGCTTGCCCTTCACAAGTCCTCCTAAAATTTATTTGTCCTTCTAAAACCATAAATACTCTATTTTAGTTTCTAATTTATACAGTTACAAATTATTGTAAATTATATTTTTCATAAATATTTGTATACCTCTTATTGCCTGTGCAAATTCTTCATCAGTTTTTAAAATGTTCCCTTTAATAAGTTCTAATGGACCAGGACGATGAGATAATCTATCATTCAACCCATCAGCTAAACGTGCTTTCTTCAATTGGCGTTGTTTAGCCTGAAGACTTGGATCTACAGTAGTATCTAAAAACAAATACATAAAAAATTACTTGAATTATTTTGGAGTTCTCAAAATATAATGCTAAAAATAATAAAACTAAAATACAATCTGAAAAAAGAATAATAATCTCAGAAAAGGTTTTCATTTAGATATAATGACAACTTTGAGTATTAGTAATGTAATTAATTTCCATAATAAGATCAAAAATATTGTTTATTTCCTTAACTAGAGTTTTAAATTAATCTTTAGATTAAAAAAAATCAAAAGAGAAAGATCAAAAGATCAGTGGAGTGTCTTTCTGAGTACATTTAAACTTCTGTTACATACTGCTGCCAATTATATCCACTAACATCCTGACTGAAGCACTTTCTTTTTTCAAATAAGGGAATTTTCAACCACATTGTGGTGACATCATTCACTTTAATGAAGAAGCCTTTTGATATGTACATTGCAGAGATCAAGCTGAACATGCAATATGGAACTAAACAAACAACATATACAGCAATAAGATAGAGAAGATTAGTGTGTGGAAAAAAATTTGTTTTACAATAACTTTCACAATATAGTTTGTGAAACTAGACAAACCAAACTGTTGCTGTATTCCAATAATTAGGTATACCTTCTGTGTCATTGGAGAAACAGCAGATATATACTTCCTCATGAGAAGTCACACTATGATTGAACTACAATGCCTATTTTTAACTGAATTCAGCTACTTTATCATGGGTCCAACCATGAACAGTTGCTGTGCTGAACTACAAAAAATAGTCAGGCAAACAACAAATGGGTATCATTGGCAAAAAACACCCCAACACTCATGTAAACGGTCCTTAAAAGATAGAATTTCACAACTCAACTCAAAGCAGTTGAGTTGTTTTGCTGTAGAGTGTTTTGTGAAATGAATGCAGTTTATATGACTTCAAAGATATGGCATATATGGCCATATCTTTGAAGTAATTATCAATTCTACATTCCACATTTGTAATCACATGCAACTGAAATAAAGTTATTGCACTGTTTCTTAACTCCCAAAATTTGTTAGAAAACACATGCAATGTACACATTAAGGAAAAAGCATTACCAAATTTCACCATAACAACTGAATTTTGAAGTAAATTTTTCCCAAAAATCAAAACCACACATTCAAGATGACATGTGTAGCTAACTTGGTTGAGATTTGTGCAATAGTTCTTTCTACAGAGAAATCTGAAAATCTCTAATTATGATTGACTATTTGTAATGTTTAAGGTAATCAACATATTAACTGTTCTAATCACAAAGATATTCTAAAAATTTAATGGAGAAAACAAATTATAGTGAAATGAATATATATAAAAAAGTAACAACTTTAAGAATGCATTCAACAAAAAAAAAAAAAAAAANTGGCCATATCTTTGAAGTAATTATCAATTCTACATTCCACATTTGTAATCACATGCAACTGAAATAAAGTTATTGCACTGTTTCTTAACTCCCAAAATTTGTTAGAAAACACATGCAATGTACACATTAAGGAAAAAGCATTACCAAATTTCACCATAACAACTGAATTTTGAAGTAAATTTTTCCCAAAAATCAAAACCACACATTCAAGATGATATGTGTAGCTAACTTGGTTGAGATTTGTGCAATAGTTCTTTCTACAGAGAAATCTGAAAATCTCTAATTATGATTGACTATTTGTAATGTTTAAGGTAATCAACATATTAACTGTTCTAATCACAAAGATATTCTAAAAATTTAATGGAGAAAACAAATTATAGTGAAATGAATATATATAAAAAAGTAACAACTTTAAGAATGCATTCAAAAAAAAAAAAAAAAAAAAGTAACTATTCACAACATACATTCACTTTTTTGAATAGTACACCACTCTTAGCTTTATATTTAGACTAATTTTTTTACTTAAAATAATAAAATACCATATTAAAATAAGTAAACATAAAAACTATCTACTACAGAAGAAATTTATTCAATAGGAGGAAGAAAATAAAATGAAACCAAATTCAACGTTTTAAATTTTTAGTCATAATTTAAATCATAATAATTACTATCCATATTTTTAATTTTAATAATTCAAAATTTAAAAAAAATCTAAAATATTTTAAAATATGAAAACATTAAAAAACTAAACAATTAAAAAGATATTTGAATTGAAAAAAGTTTTTAATATTAAGAATTATCTTCATTAGATTTAGTTTTTCAACAAATTCAATTTTGAAATCAAAAATGAATGCTTATATCTGATAAAGTTATACACGTACATACACACACACAAACTATTATAATAAAATTTCTATGAAAAGTTATTTAAATTTAAAGATTGCAAAATGTTTACATACCTTCAAGTATATGTTGCTGTATTAATTCTTGTCTATCAGGTCTTCTTTGAATTTTACTCTTCAATATGTCACCCATCTAGAAATTAAAAAAAAAATGTATATGGTAACATAATACATACATTAAATGTTCATATTTTTTTTCTAAGTTTTACAATTAAAAAACCTTATTATAGTTTTGTACTTAAAATAAATGATTAGTCATATCCATTGCCATTAAAATAAAGTATAAAAAACCATAACAAATTTTTGAAAATTTGATAAAGTAATGAAAATCATCTTTTATCTCAAATAATGTTTTATTAAGTATAACAAAATTTAAAATTTTAAAATCATGGTTATAGATTAAGGCTGAAAATAAATTTCAACTATCACAAATTCATTTAAACAGCATTTGTAATAACATAAAAGAAATTCAGCAGTGAGTAGTGTAAATTTCCCAGCAAGAGTTAAAATTGTATGGGGATGCCATCAGTTATGAAATTTTATTTAAAAACATTTTATATTATTAATTATTATAAAATGGCAAAAACTTAATTTTGAGGGCAGAGACAAGTTTTATAAAAAAAAAAACTGTAAATGGTGATGAGGAATAAAATCCTCATTTAAGTCTAACTCCACTTGAGATACAACATATGACCCCCTATACCTCTCATCCCCAAAACAATCAAAATTTAACAGCATCTATCTCCTTAATACACAAACCTCCTTGAAAAATTTCAGAAATTTTCAACAAAAGGCATAGGAGTTATTAAGCTTCAAAGTAAATGAACAAAATCATGTCCCCATAAGCACTACCATCAATACATATAGGAAAAAACCCCCAAATTTTTTTTTCATTTCTTAATGTCTCAAGGTCCAGAGTCCAAAAATCTTGGTGGGTCATTGTTTTGACTTATCATTAGACTTTTCCTCTGTTACATATGGTATAATGGCAGTAAAGAAAAAGATATATAAATTAACATCAATTAATTACTTGATATTTGAAACACCTCACAAAAAAGTTATATAATTTATACATATTAAATTAAAATTATTGATTAAAAAATGAAATATTAACAATTTTATACAAATTAAATTCTGCTAATTTCAGGAAACCAACTTTTTTGCATATTAACAATATGCTACTATGTTAATTTGTTTCCTTCTATTTGTATTGAAGCTGCATTATCTCATATAAATAATATATCAACTTGAAAATATATAGCCATACCTTTGACTACTTGGATCTGATTTCATGCAACTATTATTTCTGTTGAGATAACACTTTTTATAGATGAAGATTTGATGTGCCAATGGATTCTCCATTAGCAGGTAATATAACTGAAATAGTTGTGTCATGGGTAGACAGATAATTAAAAAAAAAAAAGAAACATAACAAACATATCAAATTGATTGTTCAATATGTAGATGACCTTTGTATAATTTGCAACAATGCCCACTGTACCAAAAATTTTATAAATGAAATTAACATAATACTGTAAGTATTATGTTCAATTTACAACTTCTATTGATTTATTCTAAACTAGCAAACCCCGCCACATGTTGTTGTGGCTCAAAATGCATCTATTATAAATGTATAACACTTCCCCCATGGCAGGGGGGTTTTTTCGAAAAATCCCTTCTTAGTGTACATTTTCTTGACACACACTATTAAAACGCAATCAAAAACACAAAAAAAAAACACATCTAAAATAGTATAATAAAAGCCAAGTTCATGGTAAGCCTTAATCCTGTCCATCTCCCCCAATGGGGAAATTTCGACATGTATATTATATAAAAACACGTACGTATTCAAATGCAGCATTGTGTCAAAATTTCAAAGGATTCAGTAGGAACAAACGAACATTACATTTTTATTTATATACATAGATAGAAGATGATCTGCTTTAGTTTATCCTCACAGAAAAGCAAACTTAGATCGTCGTACTCGTAGTGCCATCTGTTGGACATAAAAGCCTTAATCCTAGATTATATCTTTTAATTTATATGAATGTTTAACGGAATAATATACAGCCTATGTCCTCCCTGAAGTTCCATTCTAAATATTGGCGAAAGAATTTTTGAAATCGGATGAGTAGTTTCGGAGATTACCCCTACATACAAACTTACAAACATTACCTCTTTATAATATTAGTTCTAAATTATTTTATTACTATTTTCAAATTAGATAATACTTATGGAACTACAGTTTGTCAAAAACCTACATTTATACCATTGTACATACATTGGAAATCACACGATATGACCCGCAAATTAGCTGCTTTCTGCAGTCTAGTTAGATGCAGTTTCACCCATTCATCATTGAATACACTATCTGGCCAAAAGTATCCGGACACCCAGTGGTATGGACTCGGAGAGTCCTGAGGCATATATTAATATGATGTTGGTCCTCCTTTCGCATCGATGAAGCCTGCACACGTCTGGGGAGACTTTCCACTAGTTTTTGATAGGTGGCCATCGGAATTGACTTTCAGGCGTCCATCACAGCTGAAGTGAGTGCTGGCAGTGAGGATGGTCGATGTGGCTGGCTATGTAATCTTCATTTTAATTTGTTCCAAAGGTGTTCTATGGGATTTAGATCGGGGATCTGAGAAGGCCGGTCCAGTTTTTGAACACCCATTTCATCAATGCCTGCGCAAGTCTTGATGTGTGAATGGAGGAGTTATCCTGCTGGAAGAGAAATGGGCCGTCCCCAAAATATTGCCATAGAGTTGGGAGAGCAGCATTGTCCAGAATATCCACATACATCTTAGAGTTCATGTTTCCAACCACGGGAACTAAGGCCAAACCATGAAAAATACCCCCAAAACATGATGCTGCCACCACCAAACTTTACAGTTGATACAATGCACTCATATAAGAAGCGCTCACTGGGAATCCACCAAACCCAGATGCATCCATTGGACTGCCAGATTGTAAAGCGAGATTCATCACTCCAAAGAACACTTTTCCACATGTCCACAGTCCAATGACGGTGAGCTTTGCACCATTGCAATCAATGCTTCACATTCTGAAGAGTGATGTTCGGTTTGTGAGCGGCTGCACAACCATGGAATCCCAGGTTTTTTAACTCTTGATGAACAGTCCTCGTGCTAACACTAATGCCTGATGATCTTTGGAACTCCTGAGTGATTTCAACCAACGAGGGTGTGATTTTGTTTCACTACCCTTTTCAGAGTTCTACGGCTGCATTCACTGATTTTGTTTGGCCTGCCACATCATTTTTCTCCACTTTCACTGCCTTGACGTTTTCACTTCACAATTACATCACCCACAGTGGATTTTGGTTTCTGTAGAATTTCCGAAATTTCTAAGACTAACAGCACAAAACCTTCCTCACTAATTTCTAGCCTTATTAACTGGAGTACAAACGTTTTCGGCCTTCTTAATAGGCCTTCCTCGGGTACACTGTGGAGCGTCGGTTAGAAGAAGTTTAAATGCTGCCAATGTTTACCCAGGTGTCGTCTTACCCGTGACGTCTTCGTCGATGATAGGTATACGACACCAGGGAGAAAAACTACATACTTTTGGTAAAGAAGGGAGGTGTGCAGATAGGATACTTGCTAAAGTTGGGGAAAAAAGATTTTAGAGTAAGTGCGCTACGTACAGGAGATGCACAATCACCACAGGGGGTTAGTGGGGAGTGACGTCATAGTTGAGGCCGTAAATATTCAACGCTACCGTAA